ATCCCACCCGGCCCCAGCCTGCCTGCCCGCCCGCCTGCCACCCCCTCACCCTTCTCTCCTCCCTCCAGCGGCGTGAAGTACATGAGGCGGTCGGAGTCTCCATCCACCGCGCAGCACCGCGCCCCAGGCGGCACATCCTGGAAGTTGGCGGGCAGCTGGCGGTCCTTCTGCAAGAAGTCGGAGCCGCAGCCGCCGTTGAGCACCCCCTGCCCCGTGTTGCGCAGGTCCACGGCCAGCCCCGCATCCGCCTGGGCCAGTGACGCCACCAGGGCGGCCATCTTGGGGGCGCCCACGCCGTTGGCGCAGTCCATGTACAGGGTCTGCATGCGGTGCGGGGAGAGGAGTGGTGTAGGACGGCGTGGTGTGCGTCTCTTTGGTGGTGCCAGGGGCGTTGGAGGCAGGGCCAGGGGGCATTGCACTCCAGCAAACATGCAGGCTGGCTGAAGGCTGGCCCCTGCCCCGCCGCCGCCGCACCACGGGCCCCCTGCCTGCCTCCCCCTGCCTGCCGCACCTGGCCCAGCGGCGCCGTGCCCTCCACCAGCTGCCGGTACGCGCCCGCCAGCGCGGCGTGGTAGTCTGCCTCCCCGCACGGCTGCCCCAGGTTGCGCCGCATCACCATCCAGTGCAGCTGCGGCGTGGTCAGCAGGCCGCACATCTGGGGCTCCGCGCCCAGGCAGCGCACCCCCGCGGCCGCCGCCGCGGCCAGCTCGGGCCCGCTGGGCCGCGTGTCGTGGGCAATCATGACGACGCCAGGGGCGGGCGCCGTGATGCCCTCCGCCGCCAGCAGCCCCGCCACCTGCTTGGCCAGCTCGGCGTCAGTCTGGGCGTTGGCCAGCTCGTTCGCATACGACTGCAGGGGGGGCAGGGGTTGGCGGCGTGGGCTGGAGGGAGCAGCAATGCGGAGGGAGGAGGGTGTGAAGGCAGAGCGCCGCCAGGGATGTGCCAGACCCTGAGGCCTGCAGGCCAGCCTCCCTGCGCCGCCCCAGCTCTTGCCGGCTGGCCCACCAGCCCTGCAGGCCAGCCCTGCGCCGCACCTCCCACTCCTGGCACAGCATCTCGCCCGACGGCTCCACCAGCTTGACGCCGTTGTCGGGGGCGGGGTTGTGGGAGGCGGTGATGCAGATGCCGGTGATCTGCTGCGTCTTCAGGGCGCGGGCCGCCATCATGATGCCGCACCTGCAGTCCGGGGCGGGGGTGCTGTCGAGGGAGGAGAGGTGGTTGGCATGTGAGGGATGCGATCTGTGGCCCCGCGCGCCTGAACATGGTGGAGTGCAGCAGGTCGGCCACCGCGCGGAAGCCGGCGGTGCCGTAGGAGGGCCTGAACCCCGCGGGCAGCACATAGGAGCGGCTGGCGCTGCACACTGCCTGCTCCACGCTGGGGACCGCCATCACGTGTGTCTACACGTCCTGGTAGATGCGAAAGACTATGTGTGGAGCCAGGAAAGAGGGGTTGAGGCGGGGGCAGTACTTTCGGCGGCGGTTCGCGGTACGCTGGCGGCAGCACGCCGCAGGGGCATGTCCTAGCTACTTTCGCATGCGTGGGGCTGGCAGCACAGGTGCACGCCGCAGTTTCATGTGTCGATGGCGCCGCACAATGCCCGCCGGACTGCAGGTGGGTTCGGAATCGGTGTGGCCAGTCGCTTGATTGCCGTGGCCTCGTAAAAGAAGCAATAAAGTTCGTGCCGCCACTTTATGAATGATGCAACGTAGCAGATAGCATTGCAAGCTTGATGTCCTCTCCTTGGATGCACACACTTTTCTTTGCCAGCGCCCCCACACCTCCCGCCCGCCACGAGGGCAGCGCCCTAAAAAAGTCACAGCGACTTCCTCTGCTTGTCTTCATGCCTCGGTCGATCAACGTGCCTGCACCTGGCTTCGCCATTCCACTTCCAACGCTGAGTATGGAGATCGCTGCACGGAAGGCTTTGTTTGGGGCAGGCAGACGGCACGCTTCAACGGTTAGTGCGCAAGAACAGGCGGCATGGAGGCCAATTCACCTCCATCCGAAGTGCCGGCAGCTGCCGGAGTATCATGGGCAGCGGCCGCGGCGGCAGCGGTTTCGGGCGCCAGCAGCAGCAACAATGGGCCAAGCAGGGGCAGCCCCCGTGCTGGATCCCCAGGCACTGCAGCGAGCGGAGCTTGGGGCCCGAGTCCTGCGGCATTTGGCGGGCATTGATCAGGTGATGAAGAGAATGCGTGCACGGAGGCAAGATCCTGCTCATGCTGGCCGAGCTTGCTGCTGACCGTGATCATTGCTGCTGCTTCTTCTGCCAAATCTGCAGAGCCCAGAGCTGGCAGACGGCATCAAGGTGCTGCCCGTCCTGCTGGAGCCACCACGCGCCTGGCACACGCTGACCGCAGGGGTGGCAGAGCACGGGGTGGCGGCGTTCCGCGGCTCGCTGTCGCCGCGGCGCTACCCCATCCCCCGCTTCCACACGCTTGCCCACTGCGCCTGCCAGCTCACCAGCAGCAGCGGCGGCAGGCGATTTCGCGCCAAGCCCATCAACCTGTTCCTGGCGCTCCTGTTTGAGCAGATCCCGGCCGCCGTTGCGCTGGCGGGCCTCCCACCGGTGCGGCTCGACCGCTATGACCTGCACCACGGCCACCTGTTGTATGCGCCCAGCTGCGAGCAGCTGGGCCTGCTGCTGCACGCCCGCGAGTACCCCGCCACCCATGCCGAGCGCTTTGACGTCAGCCTGGGCAACTGCCAGGCCGACAGCAGCCTGGAGTTTGATGAGGCGGGCATGGACCACAGGAACATTGTGTGGTGAGCTGGGGTCGAGTGGTCTGCGTGTCGGTGCAAGGAAAGAGACAGGTGGCGCCCTCGCCCAGTGTGTGGCACCACACCGATGGCCCGCTCGTGCGCTGCCTGGCGACGGCGCAGGATTGGAGGGCGGCTGGCGTGCCTGGATGTGTCGGCGCCAGCGCTGCGCCCTCTGCTGATGCCGGGGCTGGAGCTGCCACGCACGGTGCTGGAGGCCGACCTGGGCCAGCCGCTGGCAGACGTGAACTTCTTCGGCGAGCTGGCGGGGCGGAAGAGCGCGGAGCGGCTGTTTGTGTGCGTGCCAGGGGACTGAGCTGGACGCCCATTTGCTCGCTCAGCTGATCCTCAGAAGTTTTTGACAACATTCTGTGACTAACAATCAACATTGCCGTCACCAGGGAGCATGGGGCTCATGGAGCGGCAGCGGCAGCGGCGGCAGCGCAAAGCCGCTCTGGAGTTTGACCGGCTTGCAGGTGCAGGCTGTCCAGCTGCTGCCAGCACCGTCGCAGCAATCAGTTGCCTTGCATGCATTGTGTGGAATGTGCTATGCGGCAGGGGAGGAGAAGCGGCTGCCACGCGGCCGATGGCTGGACTCATGGCCGCCGTTCAAAGCTTCCCGCTCAATTCTGGCGGCCACTCCCTCGCTGGAGCGGCCTGTATGTATCGATCCGCCACCTGCCAGCTTCCCCTCGCCCTTCCTCCTCGTTCCCGCAGCAACGGCGTCAGCATGAGCGCGGGGCTGGTTCAGCGGAAGCACCTGGTGGCTGCCACGATCACCATAGCGCTGGTGCTGCTGCTCTGGCCGCACCTGGCCATCCTGGCGCAAGTCGGCTACTGCTACGCCTGGTGGCTGCGCCCAGAGGTGCACTGGGCCTCCCCCGACAACCTGCCGCCCGGCAACAGCTCCGCGGTGCCCCGGGTGATCCACCAGACCTGGCAGACCACCGAGGTGCCGCAGAAGTGGGCGGCGGCACGGCAGTCGTGCATCGACCTGCACCCCGACTATGAGCACCGCCTGTGGACCGATGCCGATGGCCTCAAGTTCATAGAGGTGAGCTAGGGCACGGGAGGTCCTTTGGGGGCGAAGGCGTGTGGCCACGGCCGGCTCCAGGGCCGCCTGCTTGCTGCCGCAAGGCGGTGCCTGCCACCGTGCCGCCGTCTGAGCGGGCTGCCGCCTTGCGCCCTGGCCCCACCCGCGTGCCTGGCCATGTCGCAGGACCACTACCCCTGGTTCCTGCCCACCTACCTGTCCTACCCCTACAACATCCAGCGCGTGGATGTGCTGCGCTACTTCATCCTGCACAAGCTGGGCGGCATCTACATCGACCTGGAGTGAGTGGGCGGGGTGGTGGTGGTGGTTGGGCTGCTGCCAGTGCACCCAACCACTGCTTCAGACAAAGAGTTTGCATCCCAGCCTTGCACTGGCGGGCTGTAAGGCTCGCTGCCGTCGGCCATGCACCCAGCCAGCCATGCCCTGCCCCACCCCCCGCCGCCTGCTGCAGCATGGGCTGCCGGCACAGGCTCGACTTCCTGCTGCACCACAACTTCACCGCCCCCATGACGCACCCGGTGGGCATCTCCAACGACGTCATGGCCGCAGTGCCGGGGGACGCCTACCTGGCGCACGCGCTGCCCCGCCTGGCGCGCTGGAACCGATGGATGGGCATCAAGTACATCCAGGTGGGGCAGGCGCGGGTGGGCACCGGCACCCTGCCCGTGCAGGTCAAATGTCACTGGGCGGTTCTCCACTCCATTTCACTGCAACAAGCTTCCCTCCCACCCCTGTGCCCGCAGGTCATGTTCAGCACGGGCCCAATGTTTCTGACGGTGCAGTACAGCCTGTTCCCGGGGCGGGGCGATGTCGCCATCATCCCCAAGCCCACCTACGGCAAGTACGACTTCACCGGGGACGCGTACTTCTACCACCTGCACGGTAGCTCCTGGCACGCAGACGACGCGCAGCTCATCTTCTGGCTGGACCGACACAAGCTGGTGCTGGTGCTGCTGGGCAGCCTGCTGGCGGCGGGGCTGGCGGGGCTGGCTGTGCTGCGCTGCATCATGCAGCACCGCTACCGCCAGCTCAAGACCACCGACGACTGATGCCAAGTCGCGATTTGCTCTGCTCAGAATGAATGCCTCCTGCTCGATTCCTGCTTGCGCTCCTGCCCCAGGGACCCTTTAATTTTGATCGTGCCCTTCTTTCCGCTGCCTCAATGTCTTCTGCCTCTGCCTGCTGACGCTGCTTTCTGCTGTGACTTTGCTCCTGCAATTGCATTTGCCCTTACGATCCCTATTTCGTAGGTATCCCCTTGCCTCTGACCGCCCTGCCATACCCGTCACCTCTGCCCTTGTGCCAACACTGCTAAATGTAGCACTTGTCGAGGTCTTACAGGCTCTCTCAGGTTCATAAACCAGCGGGCAGGCCAATGAGCTGGTTACAACTGGCCGCAGTCCACGACAACCACGTCTGTCCGCGGCGTGCCGTCGCTGCTGGCCGCCAGCTCCTCTGCAGTGGAAGGGCACAGCAATGGTGCTTGGCAGTTGAGCACAACGCCACACCCCGCAAGAGTCCTTTGCCACCTGCAGCGCTTCACCTATCTGCTTGAGCACGTCCAGCCCCTCCACCACCCTCCCAATAACCACATGCTTGCCGTCGCATTGCGGCGCTGGCCCAAAGGTGATGTAAAACTGAGAGGTGTTGCTGTTCTTGCCTGCGCATCAAGCACTAGCAGCAGCAGGTATGAATCCGCATGGCCGTGGTGGGGGCGAATCCGTACAAAGAAAGCCCTGCGGAAGCATTGTGCCCGTCCACCTTCGCCCAGGCTTGAGCACAGACCTGAGTTGGCAAAGCCCACCACCCCTGCCGCATCATGCTTCAGCTTCAGCGCCGCCGGCTCATCCTTGAACTGCAGAAGCACGGCCGTGCGGTTGTTGTTGACGGAGAGCAGTTGAGCAGCGCAACCAGCCGGTGGAAGACGATGGCAAGCGGGGGAGGAGGGGCGCAACCCACCTTGCCGCCGTAGATGCTGTCCCCTCCGCTGCCATCCCCCTGCAGCATAGAAGGATTGAGTGGATGTCGCGGGCCCACACTGAGCCAACCAGGGCTGGCAAGGCCACTCCCTCGCCCCAGCCACACCATCGCCCTGCCGGCCAGCTCACTTTGACGACATCCCCGCCCTGCACCAGAAATGATGCCACCGCCCGGTGCATCCGCACTCCCTTGTAGTGCAGCGCCTTGCCGCTGGCCTTGCCCGTGCCCCTCTCCCCCGTGCACAGGCAGCGGAAGTTCTCCACTGCCTTGGGGGCCTCCTTGAAAGACGACAGCTCAACCAAGAGGCGCCCGCCCGCCAGCCGCGGCTGCCTCAGCAGCGCCGGGCCCTGCGCGGCCCAGGTGGGATCGCTAGAGTAGGCATCTTGCAGCACCTCTGCAGCATCGTCATCCAGGTCCTCTATGCTGCCGCGCCACCCGTACTGCACGGGGGAACGGGCGGGAGGCGGTGCAGGCGGGTGGGCGGCGGCAGCGATGGCGCAGCTCCAGTCGCATCGTGCGATCTTCTGCCAGGCCCGCCTGCCATCTGATTCCGCTACCGGGAGCCAGGGTGGACAACCGCACCTGGGGCCCCACACTTGAAAAGAACTTGCAGGCTCTCTCATGAGCTGCTAGGTCTTCTGCATGCTTCTGGAGATCCCCGATGGCGATATCCAGCCAGCACTTGGGGGCCGTCGCAGACATGTCGGTGATGGGCCACTGTCCAAAGGAGTTCACGATACACAGAGACGAGCGATGCCAGACAGCCGATAGGAATGCGTGAAGAAGCAAATGCACTGCCAAGGTCAACAATTTCCGCCACCTGCTCATCATGCCGCCGCGCCGCTAGTCGCCAACGCGATCAGTGCAGCAAGCTGGCCGGCGCACTACTGCATCTGCTGCTGGAGGCGCTGCATCAGGCTCATGGCGTTCGCCCGCTCCATTTCGAAGAAGTGCACCAGGCGGCGGCGGTCCGCTTCATCAGCCACCCCCCGCAGCACCACCGCACGCTCCGCCTCGCGCGCCAGCTCGGCCTGCAGGATCTGCTGCAGCTTCTCCCGTGCCACGGGCGGCGCCAGCGGCGGGGCCTGCTGCGCCGGTCGCCCCTGCTCCTCAACCCCATCAACCGTGCAGCGCGCCTGCACCGATGCGGCAGCACACGGCGAGGGGCAGGACGGTGGGAGGGCAGCGCTGGAGGCAGACTGTCATGCACATCAATGAATGAAGCTAGGCGGGCACCCCACACCTGGGCATCTGCAGGGTGTGCAACAGAGGCGCGGCTGCTGAGCTGCTGGCTGTCTGAGCCGCTGCCCGCCTCGTCATGCCTGTCGCCGCCAGCCTCTGCGGGTGGCTGCACCGCATGCACCGCAGGAATGCGCGGCGAGCCAATGCTGTCGACTGCCGCGCTGCTGCTGAGTGTTGAGCAGCCCCTTGCCGATGCCTCTGCCACCTGCTCAGCCACGGCATCCCTGCTGCCCCGCTGCGGGGCTGCCCCGCCTGTGCCCACACCAGCCGTGCGCCCTCTTGACGACGGGCGGGCGCCCTGCCGGGTGCTGCCGCGGCTGCTGGGAGGCCGTGTGGCCGGGCTCTGCAGCAGCTCGCCCAGCTGGCGCTGCAGGCCGTCCAGCTCCTGCACCGGCGCACACCCACCCCGCTCCATGTGCCGCAGCGCCTCCCTGCAGGGCAGCCCGCGGGGTGGCGCCATCGGTTGTAGGCTGGGTGGGGGCGCTGACGGTACACGGGCAACCATGGGATGCTTCAGCCCTGCAGCCATGCAAGTCGCCTGGCGTGTGGCAGCGGCACCTCCGGCTCACTTGAGCGCATCCTCCTGCTGCCGTATGTCGCGCCGCATGTCCTCCAGCGCCCGCATCATGGCCGCCCGCTCCCCCTCCATTGCCGACACCCGCCGCTGCTTGGCATCCAGCCTGCGGCTCAGCTCGTCCCTGGCCGCCTCCTGCCGCTGCGCCGCCAGCTCCATGCGGTGCCTGCGACACCGGGGGGCATCAGGCAGCACACGACAGCTTGGCACGCATTGCAGGCGGGCATTACCATGTGGGCGGCAGCCCGGCCTCCAAGCAAGCTCGCTGTGCGCCCCCTCCACCCCCACAAACCAGCGCACTTGGCGTGCAGGGCGGCCAGTCGGCGCTCCCGCTGCTTCAGCGCCCGCAGCTCCGCCAGCTCCTCATTCCGCTGCCGCAGCTCCGCCTCCTTCTGCTGCTGGCGCTGCAGGTAGAAAGCGGCACGCTCCGCCGCCTCCTGCTCCGCACGGGACTGCGCCAGCCGCCGAGCCGCCTCCCGCCGCTCATGCTTGACCCGCGCCAGCACAGCCACCTCCTGCCGCTCCGCCGCCACCGCCGCGCCGCGCGCGGCACCCTGCTCCAGCCGTGCAGCAGCCTGGCGCCGCGCCTGCTCATCCCGCGCCTGCGCTGCGGCCAGCTTCTCCTGGCGCCGCATCTGCGGGGGCGGTGGTGTGTGAGTAGGTGTGACCAGCAAGAACCGGCACAGCAAACAGTGAGACTTCCACCTGTATCTCGCCAAGCGCACACTGTGCCACCACAACCAGCCCGCCGCACCTCTGTCCTGTACTTCTTCTTGTTGTTGGCAGCCGCCTGCTGCTCCTCCAACGCCCGCTGCTTGGCGGCACGCGCCGCCGCCGCTGCCTGCCGCTGCTCCAGCTCTCGCTGCTTGGCGGCGCGCGCCGCCGCCGCAGCCTGCAGCTGCTGCACCCGCTTCACATGGCGGTGAAGATTGGAGGCCAGCTTCTCTGCATAGGCAGCGCTGCCGGGGCGAGAAGGCGGCTGCGCAGGCAGCGGCGCCTCTGGCAGTGCCAGCTGCGCTGCCTCTGACGGCGCCACCTCCATGTGTGTAGTGTTCAGGTAGCGAGCGTTCCTGTCGCAGGTTCCGGAGCGCACGAAGGTGAACGCACAATCGTAAGTTGTAGGCCCCACTTGGTCGACGGCGGTGGCAGGGTGGTTGGACGTCAGCTGGGCGGCGGGGCTCGTGCAGGCGTCCGAGGCTCTGCTGGGAGCAATAAAGCGTCGCCTGCCGCTGTCTTGGAGGTCTGGTGGCAGCTGTGGAATTGCATTTGCACATCTCCCTGCTGTGCCTGGCCTGAGCTGGCACGGCAGCCCACATCCAGGCGTGGGCTTGAACGCCTCGTTTCCCTGTCTCTGCACGCACCCGTCGTATTGCACCCTCAGGGCCGAGCAAGGGCTCCCCGATCGGAAGTTCTCCGTGCCATTTGAACAGCCGCTGCCTCCCCGCCTGAGTAGGGGGCTTGCAGGGCTCGTGAGCCGCTGCATCCCATTGGTGGATACGATTGGACGCCGCCTCCTGCGCCATGGTGAAAGCCAAGACCTTGCAAGTGGTGTGGCACTCGAAAGAGCCCGTGTACAGCGGTGCGTGGCCACCCCCTGGCATGGATGGTGTTTAGGGAGGCCGCCGGCTGGTGCCGAGGCTAGCGCTGGGGTTGTTGGGCGGCGCGGAGGCGGCGATTGCACTGGCAGCGGCAGTGGCTGCAACTACTGCTGCTGAGCTGAGGACAAGCACTGCCCTCCCTCTTTTGTTTTCCCTGCTGCAGTGGACTTCCACCCCAATGGACAGCTGGTCACCGGCGGCGCCGACAAGGAGGTCAAGGTCTGGGAGGTGAGCAGGCTGCCGCCGACAGCCGGGTGTTCGAGGTGGCTAGGTGCAGCTGGCGGCAGCTGAGGCGAGGCCAGCGGGCTGGCTGCAGCCCCGCGTCCCTGCATTGGCACCGCCGCCACCCGCCGCCACTGCCCCGTCCAGGTCGAGCGAGGCGACGACGGCTACGCGTGTGTGCGCCACGTGTCCAGCCTGACGGCGCACCTCAGCACCGTCAACTGTGTGCGCTTCTCGCCCACGGGTGCGCGCCCCTGGGGGTGCGGCAAGGCGGAGAGAGGTGCCGGGGCGCGACACCACCCCCGCTGACACCCCCCACTTCAACGCTGGCCTCCCCCGCACCCGCAGGCGCCCACCTGGCCAGCAGCGGCGACGGCGGCGAGGTGCTGGTGTGGGAGCCGGCAGGCGCGTGCGGCGGGGCGACGCCGCGCCGCGGCAACCTGGAGGGCGACGAGGGCGAGGCCAGCTGGCGGCGGTCGGCGGCGCTCAAGGGCCACCTGGCTCAGTCGGACGTCATGGACCTCAGCTGGGCGCCCGACGCCTCCGCCCTCGCCTCTGGTGCCATTGACAGCGAGGTCATCCTCTTCTCCTGGGCCGGCAAGCGGCGCGGCGAGCTGGCGGCGCGCTTCAAGAACCACAAGCACTTTGTGCAGGGGCTGGCCTGGGACCCCGCCCAGCAGTTCCTGGCCACGCAGAGCGCGGACCGAACCTGCAGGCAAGCAGCGGCGGCCCCGCCCCCCCCACACATGGCCCGACAATAAAGCTGGGGACGCCGCAGCCCTGGGGGTCTTGCCTGATCCCTCTGGTGGCTTAAAGCTTGTAGCGGCTTGTAGCAGCGTTGCACTGCACTGCTCTGCCTGCCCTGCCTGCTCCCCCTGACGCCCCTGCCGCCGCCTGGCCTGCCCGCTGGCGCAGGGTGTATGCGCTGAAGCCGCCGGCGGGCGGCAGGAAGAACAAGGTCAGCCAGTACCTGCTGCCCGCGGGGGAGACGGCTCGGGACCTGTACTGCGCACACACGCTCAGCAGGCGCGCCATGGCCGGCAGCGACTGCGCCGACGGCGGCGGCGGCGGCGGCGGCAAGCCCGCCACCCACCCGCTGTTTGCCGACGAGCGGGTGCCCACCTTCTTCCGCCGCCCCGCCTGGTCGCCAGACGGTGGGTGACCGGGTGCAGCACCCTGCTCGTCGTCGCCAGCTGCTCGCCATCCACCCGTGCCCTAGTACTAGGGCAGCTGGGTGGGCGCGCCGCCAGGCACCTTTCCACCCCGCTCCTGCCTGCCGCGCCGCACCCCATGCCCTGGCGCTGCGCAGGCTCCCTGCTGGTGCTGCCCGCCGGCATCTACAAGTCTGCGGCTGAGGGGCGGGAGCTGCACACCGCCTATGTGTTTGCCCGCGGCAAGTGGGGCACCCCGGTGATGCACCTGCCGGGACACACCAAGGTGGGGTGGGGCTAGGCCTGGTGGTCCGCAGGCAGCCCGCCTGCCGCGCCCGGCAGGGGAACCTGCGCATGGCAGATGCCTGCCCGCGCCTGGTCAGCGCGCACTGCCTACCGCTCCTCCCACCTGGCCCCCCACCCCCGTCTTGCCTGCTGTGTGCTGCGCCTGCAGCCCATTGCGGCCGTGCGCTTCTGCCCCGTGCTGTTTGAGCGTGGCGAGGCCGCGCCTGGCCAGCAGGCAGCCGCAGCGGGCGAGGACGCATGGGCAGCTGGTGCCGCTGGCCCGCCGCAGCACGCCGCCCTCCCCTTTGACCTGCCTTACAAGATGGTGTTTGCGGTGAGGAGGAGGGAGGGGCCTGATGCCGCTGCCGCGCTTGCTGTGCGTGCTGCCTGCCCTGGAGGTCTTGCCGCGGCCAGCTGAGCGCGGCGCTCGCAGCCCACGTGCTGTGCCACCCGCGCTGACGCCCCCTCTTCCCTGCCCCGCTGGCCGCTGCTCCACACAACCACCACCCACCCAACAACCACATGGAACCACACACACGCATGCAGGTGGCCACCCTGGACAGCGTGGTGGTGTACGACACGCTGTGCACGCTGCCGCTGGCGGTGCTGGGCCACCTGCACTACGACTCCATCACAGACCTGGCCTGGTCCAGCGACGGGCAGTACCTGGCGGTATCCTCCAGGGACTGCTACTGCAGGTGGGTGCCAGCTGGCCCGCACCCTGCTCACCTGCCCGCGTTCTTCTTGCAGGCTTTCGTGGGAGGGCTCAGCAGCACTGCCTACAGCAGCAGCAGATGCGCAGCAGCAGCAGCAGTGCGATGCCGCTGCCTGCACCTGTATGCGTGCTGACCTGTCCTGTGTGTGCCCCACATGTGCCCGCGGCCTGCCTGCCCGGTGCAGCATCGCGGCCTTTGAAGAGGGCGAGCTGGGCACACCTCTGGCAGCCGACAAGCTGGCGCCACACATTGCCAAGCGTGTGGCGGCGGCGCAGCGGCGGGCAGAGCCGCTGAAGCCGGCGGCGGCGGCGACACCCGCGGCCGGCCGCGCCGCGGCCCAGCCGGCGGCAGCGCAAGCACCCGAGGCTGCCAGGCTGGCGCTGACCCCGGTGGCGCAGCCGGCCCCACCAGCTGCCACTCCCGCCACCGTGGCAGCTGCGCAGTCGGTGCCCACAGCAGGGGCTGCCCCGGCCCAGAGGCACCCCCAGGCGGCGGCAGCAGAGCCAGCGTCTGCCCGCAAGCGCATCCAGCCCGAGCCCCTGGCAGCCGCCGCTCCCGCGGCAGCGGCGGCCGGCGCCGCTGGTGCCACGCCGGCGGCAGGGCAGCAGCCTGCTGCCAAGAAGCCCAAGCGCATTGTGCCGGAGGCTGTGGGCCCCGCGCCTGCGGTGGTGGGAGACTCGCAGCAAGTGAGCCGGGAGCAGCCATGCAGAGGGCTGCGCTCGCCGAGTTGTCTCAAGGTGTCTCCTTTGAATGACAGTGCCGGGGCGTGTGTGCCGCCGCCAAGCCTCCTCCCTGCTGCCTGTCACTGCTGATAACTGCTGGGCCGCTGCTGCAGGGCGGCGCCGAGCCCAACAGCTACCGCGAGCCGCCGGGTGCGCGCCGCATCGTGCCAGAGGCTGTGGGGGCAGGCGCCAGCACCGCGCCTGCTGCGCCTGCGCCTGTGGCCGGCGCTGGGGCCCCCAAGCCGCCCAGGCGCATCACGGCGGAGCCTGTGGGCCCCGCCCCCGCCCCCTCCTCTGCCGCCAAGAGCAGCCTGCCTGCAGAGTCGGCGGTGAGCGGCAAGGCGGGCGCCAAGCGCATCACCCCCACGCCCCTGCGAGCCACCCCCGCCCAGCAGGCGGTCAGCCAGCAGTTTGGCGCCGCTGCCAGCCAGCACCCCGTGCTGCCAGCGCCCTCAGAGCAGAGCAGGGACGGGCACCCGGCCTCGGGGCGCCGCATCACGCCGGTGCCGGTGGGGGCGGCGCGGGCGCTGCCGCCGGGCGAGGAGCGCACCGCCACGGCGCCGGCGCCCAGCGGAATCGCGGCGCTGGCTGCTGCCATGGGCGCTGCGGCGGCCAAGACGCGCAAGTGATTGTGCCTTGAGTTGGTTGCCTCAACAACTGTAATGCAGTAACAGCTGCTACACTGTGGCGGTGGCCACGCTGCGCCATGCTGAGCCCTGAGGTGGTGCGCCCGGCACATGGACAGAGCTACAGGACATTGCGCCCGTTCTGTGCCAACTTTCAACAACTTCCCCTGCCCTGGCAGCCATGCAGGCGCGCGTTTTTGCCGCCTGCACTCTGGGGCGGCCGGCTGTTGCGTGCAGAGGGCCTGGCCGTCGGCTCAGATCGTTGCGATCGCGGCTTGTCTCGCCACATGCGCTACCGGAGCAGCTCGGCCAGCTGGCCAGGGACTGGTTGGCCCAGGATGGCGACCCGGCAACGCGGCGGCAGATAGAGCAGCTGGTGGAGGCTGGCGATGCCGTAACGCTGGAGGACATGCTTGGGCAGCGCCTTGAATTCGGTGACTTCGTGCATCTTCAGCCTGGTTGATAGAGCTAGGCAGAGAGCAATGGTTACCGCCGTTGCCGCCCGCCTCCCTCCTGTTGCCTCTCAACGTCCCGTCACCGATACAACTGCCTCAATTTACCTTCCAATTTCGTGCATTGCGATTCTGCCTGCAGGCACCGCGGGGCTCCGAGGGTTGATGGGGCCGGGATACAACAGGCAGGGAACCAACCGCTGGCTAGTTGTCAATGCCGAAGCCAAGTCGAGAAGTTCCTGTACCTTCCCAAACTTCCCATGCGCCGCAGGATGAATGCCGTCACCATTCAGCAGACGACACAAGGTTTGCTGCGGTACCTGCGGGAGCAGGAGCCGCAGCGGCTGCAGGCGAGCGGCATCGTCATCGGCTTTGACGGGCGCCACCACAGCCGCGAGTTTGCCACGATTGCGGCGGCATGCGCTGTGGCGGCGGGGGTGCCCGTCTGGCTGTTCAGCGAGCTGGTGCCCACGCCCTTTGTGCCCGCCGCCGTGCAGCAGCTGGTGAGCGGTAGAGCCCTAGCTTTCCAGAGCCATGCTGAGCGGCGACGCAGGAAAGCTTCTCCAATCAAGGACTTGAGTTGTGTCTTGCAGGGCTGTGCCGGCGGGGTCATGGTGACGGCCAGCCACAATCCCAAGCAATACAATGGATACAAAGTTTATTGGACGAACACTTGCCAAATCATCCCGCCCCACGACGCCGGCATTGCGGCGGCAATAGAGCGGGAGCTGGGGCTGTGGGAGCTGCCCCCGCTGGAGAGCATCAGCTATGGGCATCCCCTGGTGCGGGATCCGCTGCAGCAGGTGGCTGATGAGTACTACAGCCAGCTGAGGCGGCACCTATGGTACCGCGGTGCCGAGGCCAATGCGTCGGCGCCCGCGGTAGCCTACACCGCGCTGCACGGCGTGGGCACGCCCTGGCTGCTGCGAGCGTTCCGGGAGTTTGGGCTGCCGGCCCCCATCCTGGTGCAGCAGCAGTGCCAGCCTGACCCGGACTTCAGCACAGGCGCGGAGCGCGCCTGCTAGCCAGCGGCGTGTGCAGCACCAATGCTTTAAACCAATGCCGCCACGCTGTGACGCGCCGTGCGCCTTGCTGCCCTGCAGTGTCCTTTCCCAACCCCGAGGAGGGCGAGGGTGCTTGGCTGCTGACGTTCCAGGCAGCAGAGGCGGCAGGCGCCCAGCTGGCGTTTGCCAACGACCCCGATGCCGACCGGTTTGCGGTGGCCGAGCGGGGCCAGCAGACAGGTGGGCTGGCCCAGGTGGACTTGTAGCCACTGGCAAACTGGTGCCCAGCCAGATGTTGACATCCACTGCCCTGCCGGATCGCTTGCTTGCCTTGCAGGTCAGTGGCGGGCATTCACGGGGAATGAGATAGGCGCGATGCTGGCCGAGTGGGTTCTGCGCAACTACCGGCAGCGGTATGGGCGGCAGCCGGGGGAGCGGCTGGCTGTGCTGTCCAGCACCGTCAGCAGCCGCATGCTGGAGGCCATTGCGCGGAAGGAGGGCATCCATTGGGCGGAGACGCTGACAGGCAAGCTGCATGTTGGCGGTGCATGGGCTGGCATCCATGCACCCCGATGTGGGAAGCCTCCTGGGCCTGCACTGTGCCTTGTGCTCATGGCGCTGGCACGGTTCTGCTGCAGGTTTCAAGTGGCTGGGCAATGAGGCGCTCAAGCTGGAGGCCCAGGGGTGCGCCTGCTGCCTGCCGCCTGCCAGCACACCCAGCCACGGGGTGGCAAGCACATGTGTGTGCTGCGCATCCCACCATCCACGCAGCATGGCTCTCTGCACACCTGCCTGCAGGATGACTGTTCTGTTTGCGTTCGAGGAGGCAATCGGCTTCATGATGGGCCAGGTCGAGCACGACAAGGACGGCATTTCGGCGGCAGCGGTGTGCGCTGAGCTGGCGGCTGACGTCTACGCCCAGGGCCAGACCCTGTCCCAGCACTGGCACCAGCTGCAGCGGCGGTACGGCACCTATGAGTACCGCTCCGGCTACTTCATTGCCAGCCCCGCCAGCAAGAGTGCAGCTGTGTTTGAGCGGCTGCGCGCCCAGGTCCCCGCCACCATTGCCGGCTGCGCGGTGCGGGCGGTGCGGGATCTGGGCACAGGAGTAGACACCGAGCAGCCTGGTGAGTGAGCAGGCTGTGTGTGGGATGGGCTGATGCATGGGTTGTGTGTCACGGAGGAGGGAGCGGCAGCAATGAAGTGCCTGCCATCTCCTCTCCTCTGCGCCGTAGATGGGCGGGCGGTGCTGCCGTGGCAGCCGGGAGACATGATGATCACGTACAGCCTGGACCATGCGCGCATCACAGTGCGCGCCAGCGGAACAGAGCCTAAGTGTAAGTGGTATTCAGAGGCTTACGGACAGGAGGGGGCGCGCTCGCTGGCGGATCGGCTGGAGGCGGCGGTGGCAGCCGAGCTGGTGCAGCCTGAGGCGCACGGCCTCACCCGCCCTACGCTGACAGCCGCATGATTGGACTGTGAACTCAAATCTCAGTCGGTGATGCCGATGGGAGCCTTGTGAGAATGCGGCACAGCTGGGAGTGCGGTAGGGCGCTGGCGCCGCCCATCTGGCGGCGACAGGCCAAGCACAATTGTCAGCTTTGCCAAGTGCGCCATTGTGTTGATCTAAGACAAACATGACGTTGTTGTACGTGGAGCGCACAAGCATGCACGCATGACACAATGGGGAAGCGCAAGCCCGTCTCCCTCCTCAACAGGGAGCGGGCGCAGCGGCACGAGCAGCAGCGACCCAGCAAGAAGCAGAAGAAGGCAGCGCCGCAGAATGGAAACGCGCAGGCGCACCAACAGCAGGGCAACAGGGCAGGCGGCAGCAGCGGCGGGCAGCAGGAGCGCGGCCCCCGCAAGCAGCAGCAGCAGCTACAGGGGCTGCGCCCCACCTCTGCCGTGCACTCCCAGGCGGCCTTTGCCGTGAGGCGGCTGCTGGAGGCGGATGCCAGCAAGCGGGGCGGCGCCACGCTCAAGTCTCTGACGCTGGCCCCACACATCACCGCCAAAAAAGTGCGGCCGTGACACAGCGGCCCGCTGCTGGCTAGCTGCCTACCACCCTGCTCGGTAGCCCCTTGTCCGTCGGCATTCTTGCCTGAATTTTCCAACCCATCCTCCACACCCACTCCACCCCTCTCTTGGGTGCAGGCCACATATGCGGTCACAGTCGAGGCGCTCAAGCACCTGCCCATCCTGCAGCAGCTGCTGGAGCGCACGCAGCTGGTGGAGCAGGGGCAGGGGCTCACACACGCGGTGGCCTGTGTGCTGGCCTACGAAGTGCTGTTTGGGGAGGGGCTAAGGCCCACCGGGCCTGCTGAGCGCGCAGTGCTGAAGCGCAAGGTGGGACCAGTGTGTGTGTGTGTGGTGATGGGCTGTGGTGGGACCGGGCTTCTATGGATCCTGGACTCTTTTCCTGCATGCCTGCGTGTGCCTCCCCCACCATCCCCGCGTGTGTGTGTGCACCGCTTCTGGCTGCAGGCTGACCTGGCGGACGCGCTGCAGCAGCTGCTGGATGCGGCGGGGGTGCAGTCGGCGGCGGAGCTGCTGCCGCACCCCGGGCCCCACACGCCCCACCCGCGCACCGCCCGCGTCAACACTATCAAGATGAGCGTCCAGGAGGCGCTGGACTGGCTGCGGGCACCTCCGCCGGAGCACCGCAAGTGGGCGGCAGTGGTGAGTTGGGCACGCCTGTGCCTCCCTTCCTCCCCCCCTCACCTGCCCAGCCTGTCCCTCGCTTGCCCCACTCCAGCCCGGCACCCTGCACCCGCATTGCTCTGCCCTGTCACCAACCACCAGCCACCACCACCCTCTCTCCCCACCACAGGGCCGGCTGGCCGAGGTGGATGGGCTGCTGCCAGACCTGCTGCGCTTTCCTCCCGCCACCGACCTGCACGACCACCCGCTGGTGGCCAGCGGCGCTCTGGTGCTGCAGAGCAAGGCCTCCTGCATGCCCGCCCACGCGCTGGCGCCGCAGCCGGGGTGGGCGTTGGTGGACGCGTGCGCGGCGCCGGGCAACAAGACCACGCACCTGGCGGCGCTGATGGCCAACCGCGGCAGCATCGTGGCGTTTGAGGTGTGGGCCGGCCCTGCTGGCGGCAGCATCGTGGCGTGCAACCCGCCGCGCAGCCCAGCACGTGGATCCCGCCACCCGCTCCCCTCCCTCAGTTTTTCTCTTGTGCTGCCGCTGCCGCCACTGCCACCTGGCGCCGCCGCAGAAGGACCCAAAGCGGCTGGAGCGGCTGCGGGCGATCGTTGCCGCCACGGGGGGCACCATCATCTCCCCTCAGCTGGCCGACTTCCTGGCGGTGGACCCCGAGGCGCCGCAGTACCGCCATGTACAGGCGGTACTGCTGGATCCCTCCTGCAGCGGCAGCGGCACCGCCTTCTCCCGCATGGACTACCTGCTGCCCTCCTCGGCAGACCGCCTCAAAGGTGGGCGTGCTGGCTGGCTGCCGTCGCCTGCTTGCCAGCAGCAGGCTGGCAGCCCCTCCGCTGACTTGCGGCAAGAGGCTGGCCAGGCAGCCCAGCAGCTGAGCATGCAGTGTGGGCCCCGTGCCTCACCGCCCCTGCAGGCCAGGCCGCCGTCGAGTACAGCGACAAGCGGGTGGAGGCGCTGGCTCAGTTCCAGGCCGCCTGCATCCTGCACGCGCTGCGCTTCCCTGCGCTGCACCGCCTGGTCTACTCCACTTGCAGGTGCGGCGCGGTAGAGGTGGTGGGTGCCTAGGAGAATGTGTATCCAGGCAGCAGGGGAGCAGGAGGCTCGGCGCAGGCGCTGGCTGCTGCTTATGAAAAAGCTGTGTGCTGCCTGCAGCCCGCCTCCGCGCCAACGGCGTTTCTCATCCCTCTCAACACCTCCCCATCCGTGCCTGCGCACCCTCGCCCCTTGCAGCGTGCACGCGCGGGAGAACGAAGGCGTGGTGGCGGCGGTGCTGGAAGAGGCGGCGCAGCGCGGGTTCCGGCTGGAGGCGCCCTTCCCGGGCTGGCCCCGCCGCGGCGTAGAGGGGCTGGTGGCGGGCGCGGAGCGCCTGGTGCGGGTAGATGCTGACGAAGACGGCACAGACGGATTCTTTGTGGCTGTCTTTGCCAAGAAGGAGGGGGAGGCGGTGGAGGAGGAGGAGCAGCAGCAGCAGCAACAGCAAGGCGGCAGCAAGAGGACCCAGCAGCGGCGGAAGCGGTGACCAGCTGTGACGTGAGGCTTGAGGGGCTGAGCGCCTGCAACTGTGTAAGGGACCAGTGCATTTACACGATGCAAGGCATGTCAAGTACAGGCCAGCAACTTCATGCAGCTTGCTGCTTTGCTTCTGCTGCCCACTCGCTGCGCTGCTTGAACAGCTCCAGCCGCTTCTCGTGCCTCCGCTGCTGCGCTGCCTTTTCGTTCGCCTTGCGCTGCTGCGCATTCCACTGCACACACGGAGGTGCCAGCAGGACATCAGTGATGGGCGACAGAGATCTTGGCGGCGGCGGCAGCAGCAGCAGCAGCCATTAGTGTAAGAAAACTCTTTGCTGGGCCTCTTGCCTTGATCTGGAGCTGCTTCTGCCACTTCAGCTTGAACCGGTTGCGGCCAGAATTCTTGGGCCTCAGCAGCCGCTTCAATGCCTGGTGCTTGGTGAGTTCCTTGTCAGATTTTGTGGGTACGGGGTGGCTGGACGAGCTGAAAGGGGCCCAACCCAAGGGCCCGCGAAGCCGCGGCGACATGCAGGGCGCCGCTCCGCCGCCTGCCGCCGTCGCTGCCAACGGGCTGCCGCGGCTGGACGCCAGTGCCGCTCCTAAGCTGCTGCTCATCGCTGCTGAGGAGCCCCAGGTCGTGAATGCTGCTGCCCAAGGCTCCGCCACAGCCCGACCAGCGGCATGGGGCTGCAGAGTGGCAAGCCCGCCGCTGCTGCAAACCCTTTGAGCTGCGGACCTCAGGGTAAAGAGGCCATCCACCAGGCTGCGCCGAAAGCGCTGCATCGTCGCGTCGTGGTGCGGGCTGTGGCGCTGTGTGCAACTTGCAGTCAGCAATAGCAATAAGAAGGCGATGCCGATCGGTGAGCAAGCAGACCCATGCGATGCCTAGCTACCCCCACAGCGCGCGAAAGCGGCGGCGGCACCGCGGTGCACCTGTTCATTGCCGGCCCCTTCTTCCTTTCAGCTCGCGCCCGCAGCATTGATTAGATCAGACAAATACACCACCCAGCATCATGCTGCGTGGCGCCCAAGGAATGCAATAAATGTTACAGCACAGGCGATGAACCAGAGAGAACACAAAGCAAGCATGCAGCGGCAGAGCAGGGGAGGTGCCGGCTGTGTGGGTCAAGAGTCAAGGTCACATGCCACGGTCAGTCAGTGTGTTGGCTGCGTAGGTCACAGCAGCGGGATGTCGCCGTCCAGGAAGCGCTGCCTGAAGTCGGAGCCCTTGGCCAGCACAAAGAAGGCCGGGATGCCAGGGATGATGTGGTCCTCCCTCGCCAGAGCATCACGCAGGGTCCACCCCTCGCTCACGCGCACCCAGCCCGCAGCGTTGGGCCCATACCGCTGTGGCCCCTCCTCTGACACCTCTGGCCACCCGCCAAAGTACACCTGCATAGTCAAGATAAGGGCAGCCGCCAGGTTCAGCAAACATGCAGCTGCACCGGCAGCATTGTTGAGACGCCCGAAGTGGGCTGCACAGCGTGCAGCTGCCCTGCCCACCAGCCAGCAGCCTACACCCTCCACGCATGCACACCCACACACACCTCTGCCAGCTGCTGCTTTGTAAGCGGCGTGGCGGCGTGGGAGAGGTAGTAGACCTCGATCGCATCCCGGCTATACTCCCCCCGCGCATCCCACTCCAGCGGCGGCGCCTCGGGCCCAAACATCAAGTCCAGGTGGTCCCTGCAAGCCATGCCCGGGCAGCAAAGGCGGCATGGCGCACCGGGCAGCGTCAAGGATCAGGGCAATCTTCGCGGCACCAACCCAAGCACGTCAACCTGGTTCAGGCGGGCCACACGCCCATGCAACGTGTGTGGGCATGCAGCAGACCGTGCGCACCTAAACGTGTCCTCCTCGCACACATCGTCCACCACATCGTGCTGCATGGCGGCCTCGGGGTAGAAGAAGAGCGCTGGCCAGTGCACCAGCCCATCCTCATCCACAGAGGGCCGGCGGTCACCTGCAGTGTGAGGCAAGACAGGGCAGAAGCTCGAGAACTGGCCATTGGTCGAGGATGCTATCCCTATCGCACCAACAGCCGCACACAGGCACGTTGGCGCTCTCACCGATGGTGAACTGCGGCCTGCCGACCCGCCACCCTCGCGCCAGCACCGTCGATGCGAGCTGCCGCGCCGGCGAGCGTATGCGTGCTTGCCGCTGCTGCTCCGCATCGTCCCGCTGCACCTGGGCATCCTTCTCTACTGCCGCCCTCTGGCTGATGTCTTTCAGCTCCCGATTGTCAGGCTCCAGGCGCAGCCCCTGCTCACACAGCTCTATGCAGCGGTCGTACTTGCGCAACCCCAGCGCCCCCTTGGCAGCACGGTAGAAAGCCTGCAGGCCCAGACAGGGTGGGTGAGAGCAGCAGGCATGCAGAGGCAGGAGAGCCTAGGAGGCCACCACGCAGGCTGATCCCTGCTCCCTGGCACACAGCCTTTGCCCTGCTGCACATATTCTAAACCATCGAACCCGCCCACCTTGATGTTCTTGTCGTTGTGGCGCAGCGCCGCCAGCCCGTCCTGGTATGCGTTGCGCAGGTTGCCCAGCAGCAGGTTGACGTGGGCGCGGTTGCTGCACAGGATTGAGTTGAGGGCGGCGTCGCTGCACTGCACCTCCAGCCCCTTGCCATACTGCTCGATGGCCTGCCGCAGGTAAAACTTCTTCTTGTGCCGCAGCCCCGCCTTGAGCGCGTCGTTGCCCAGGTTCTGCGGGCGAGGGCACGAAGGCGTGGTAATGAAGGGGCCAGGCAGGAAATGCCGAAGTGCACCGCTCACGGTACCAGTGCCGCACTGGTCGATGCCCGATTGCGCCCTGCCTCTGCAAGCCAAGATTGCCAAGACAAACTTTGCATCGACCCTTCCCAGCCCCTCCCCAGCCCACCTTGAAGCCCTCCGCCGACTCCTCAGGAGTTGTGTCTGCCATAATGGCCTTGAGGGCGGCGGCGTCAGGGTGGTCGCCCATGTCCTCGGGCAACTCATCCCTGCGGCAGCAGTAGGGTTGCGTTCGTCCCCATACCCTTCCCTTGGTGCTGCAGCGCGCGCTGTAGCAGCAACAGAGGCGAAACAGGAGAGCGAGGCAACATGGCAATGGCAAGAAGGTCGTGCATGCGGCACCCGGTCATCACCACTTGCCAGAAGAGCGCAGGTATGTCCTCATTCCTCAGGCCGGGAGGGGGCTGCTTGAGTTGCGGCGGCGGCGGCTCGTCCTCGTCGCTGTCAGTGAACACCATTGCGCCTGTTGCTGGGATCGAGATGTTGACAATTATGAACGACGTCTACAGACTCAGATGGATCGATCTTGCCTGTACCGAATTCTGCTGTGGCGCCCTGCCACCTGGCTGCCCACGAGTTTGATGTCGGAGCGCATTCCCCGCGCATTCAGGAATCCACGCTCGGCATTTGAGAGCACATCCTGAGCGCTGGGCGTTGCGGAGCTCTTTGAACGATGGGCGGCGCTCCTCCGCTTGAACTGCTGCTGCAGCTCAAGCCCAAGCAAAAGCGAGCCATCGCGGTGCGTGGGAGCTTATGGTCGCCTATCGGTGCATTTCACGGCAACAACCAAACAATCGCCCTGTTCCAAGGGCTCACAGCTGCTGCCGGGTGACCTGCGATCCGGCGGCGCTTAGGGTCCGCAGCCCTGCGAGTGCTGAGTGCCAACGGCCAGGTCAGTGCGCCGCCGCCGCCGCTTGCAGATTCTCGTGCTGGCGGGTGGTGCGGCGTCGTTGCGCCAGCTGCAGGCGCAGCTCAGGGCCGCACGCAAGGAGCAGCAGGGCATCTGCGAGGGGCTGTCGGCGCACAGCAAGCGGCCGCCGGCACCCAAGGTCGCGGTGGACGCTGTGTTTGCACGCCGCCTGCTCTCCATCCTCAAGATGTGAGCCTGGCGTGCTGGCTGTGGGTCGGCCTCCTTGGACTGCATTGTGGGCTTGGGGGCTGCTCAGCCAGCATGCGAGATGCTTGGGCCCTCTCCCTGCTCGGCGCCACCGCACTCTGCCCTCGCCTGTGCAGCTGTGTGCCATCCCCATTCTGCTTCGAGGCGGGGCTGGTGTATGGGCAGGGCTTGCTGCTGCTGCTGCGCTCCCTCCTCACCGAGTACATCAGCCGGCTGGAGGGCATGGGGGGCAGGTGGATCATCCAGCAGAACACGCAGCGTGAGTGTGGGTGGGTGGATGGCTGTATGGGAAGCGCAGTGGGTGCAGCCGTATGGTGAGCAGCAGGGAGGCAGATGTTGCCGCACGCTGCCATGGCTGCACACAGCAGCTCCGCACCGCTGCCCCTGCAGGTCTGACCCGCGTGCTGGCCACATTCGTGGGGGTGAGCGGAGGTGGAGCGGCGGGCTCCGACCCATTGGCAGTTTGTGGCAGTTGGGTGGCCGGCGCAGATGGGTGGCCGGCCTTGGCCAAGCTCACTTGCGCGGTACCCTCGCTGCCTGACCCTGGCTTCAGGTGTCGGTGCCTGCGGCCCTGGTGAACAGTGGGCTCAAGTACATGCAGAAGAGGATCAAACTGTCCTTCCAGCGCCGCCTGGTGAGCGTGTGCAGCAGCCCTGCCCTGCATCCACGCGGCAGCGGGCTCGCCGCTGCCAGACCAGCTATGCTCTGATGCCACCTCGGCTGGATGCCTGTCCCATTGCAGACGCACGTCCTGCACGAGCACTACACGAATCACCGCGCCTACTACGCGGCAAGCACGCTGGGAGGTGCGCCACTTGGCTGCCCGCAGCGTGCAGCCGCCGCCCCCGAGCCGCCCGCTGCCCTTGTTGCCACGCAAGCAGCAGCTCTGAGCACCCGCGTGTCCACCTGTGCCTCCCTGCCAGGTCTGACACATGCTGACCAGCGCATTACCGAGGATGTGGAGAAGTTTGCCCACACGGTGTCGGAGCTGTACAGTTACACCTTCAAGCCGTGAGTGATGCGCGGGCAGTGGGTGGGTGTGGGGGAGTTCACAGGCTGCATCACCGCCTGTTCAGCACCCTGCTGGTGTGCCGCGGTCTTGGCCAGGCTCCTGCATCCGTGGGTTCCGCACCCCTGGCCACCCACCATCGACCTCCATCGGCTGATCCCCTTCCACGCCCCACCACCCCGCCGCCGCGACCCCCTGCAGGCTGCTGGATGTGGTGCTGTTCACGCGGGCGCTGTCCCGCGTGATGGGCTACCAGCGGCAGGCCGCCCTGTACGGCTACTACCTGGTCATCAGCCAGGTGCTGCGCGCCACCAGCCCCCCGCTGGCGCTGATGACGGCCCAGGAGACGGCGCTGGGCGGCGCCTTCAGGGCGGCGCACCAGCGGCTGGTGGCCAATGCGGAGGAGGTGGCGGTGAGTTGGCGCGGGCGGTGCACGTGCCTGCAGCGGCTGATCCCGCTGGCCCTGCCCCCACTCGACCCGCCTGCCTGGCTGGCTGCCCACCCCCACCCCGCCTCCCCGATGCTGCAGTTCAACGACCCTCCGGCCGGCATGAGCGAGCAGATGATCCTGAACCAGCACCTGTACCGCCTGCTGCACCACTCCAGGCTCTCCGCCTTCCAGCAGTTTGTGCAGCAGAGCCTGGACGGCTTCTTCGTCAAGGCAAGGCCAGAGCCAGATCCCTCCCAGCCCGCTGCTTGATGCTGTTGCTCACGCGTCCATGATTCCGACCTGTGCTCCTCCCCTGCCTGCTTGCCTGGCCCGCAGTACGGCGCCACAGCCATTGCCCTCATCATCTATGCCGCCCCGCTGTACTTCAGCAGCGCTGTGCGGTACCGCGACGTCAGCCAGGGCGAGAAGACGCAGGTGGGCGGGCGGCGCTTGTCGCCTGGGCTGGCCCATGTTCGGTGGCTGGCCTGCCACACGCATTTTAGGGCTGTGCTGTGCTTGTGGGGGCCCTTGCGGGGCTTCATGGAGCCATCTCAGGTGGCCACCCCACCCGCCACACTCCAGGCTGGCAGCCGCCACACCCGCTCGTCTCGCCTCGCCCCAGCCGCCCAGCTAGGCCGCCCCACCCCCGGCACCCCACCTCCCCGCCTCCCCCGCAGGACTACATCTCCGCCATGCGCCTGCTGGGCAGCACGTCGCGCGCCATCGGCGACCTGGTGCTGGTGTACAAGCGTGTGACGGGGCTGGCGGGGCACACGTCGCGCGTCAGCGAGCTGCTGGAGCGCATCCGGGGGCTGGCCAGCGCCGACGAGGACAGCACCGTCACGCGCCTCTACCTGCGGTGGGCCGGGAGGGAGTGGGAGCCACGGCTGCGGCTGCGCCTGGCTGGCGGCAAGGTTGCTTGGCAGGCTGGCTGGCTGCGAGGTTGCTTGGCAGGCTGGCAGGCGCTGCGTGGGGACTGAGCAAACTGCCGTCGCGCGCCGCCCTGCCTGCTGCAGCAACATCAGCTCCAGCGGCGCGCTGCTGGCGGCCAGCTCCTCTGCGGGCGTGCTGGAGCCGCTGCCGGAGCCTCAGCGGCTGGAGGGCGACACGGTCAAGTTCAGGCGCGTGTACCTGTCCTCGCCAGACGGCAACCTGCTGGTGCGGGAGCTGTCGTTTGAGGTGGTGCCCGGGCGCAGGTGAGCCGACCGGGGGTGGCCTGGGTGGGCGGTGTGCAGTCGTGCAGAGAGTGTAACGAGTGGAGCAGCCAAGGCAGGCCGGTGCTGAGAGGCGCCGTAAGTCACGGTCCTGCCTGCCGTGCGCCATCTCGACACCCTCCCTCCCCGTCTGCCTGCCACTCGCCACCTGCAGCGTGCTGATCATGGGACCCAACGGGTGCGGCAAGAGCAGCCTGTTCCGGGTGGCGGCGGGCCTGTGGCCGCTGCAGGCAGGGGAGGTGACGCTGCCGCCCAAGGGAGAGCTCTTCTACCTGAGGTGAGCGCGGCGGGGGCGGTGGTGCCGGGCGCCTGCCAGCCCACCACGCCTGGCCCATTGCCCACGCCTGCCACCGCCACCACCTGCCGCTCGCTGCACTTCGTGGCAGGCCCTGACCCGCCCCTGCCCCTGCGCCGCTTGCCCGCCCCGCAGCCAGCGGCCGTACCTTGTGTCTGGCACGCTGCGGGACCAGCTGCTGTACCCGGAGCCGCCGCAGGCGGTGTGGGACACGGCGTCTGGCAGGAGCAGGGCGCGGGTGGAGCCGTGGATGAAGTCGCTGCAGCTGGGGGAGGAGGAGCTGGAGGAGCGGCTGTGGTGCGCCCGCCCGCCTGCCCGCCCTGCGCTGCCCGCCCCGCGTCTGGCACGCTGGTGCTGCCCGGCGCTGGGCAGCTCTATTGATGGGTGAAGAGCAAACTGGAATGGCGCTGACCCTGACGAGCTGGTGTGTGTGTGGCTGTGCAGCGAGTGCCTGGAGGCGGTGGAGCTGGACTACTTGCTGATCAGGGGGAGGGGGTGGAACCAAGTGCAGCCCTGGAACGAGACGCTGAGCGGCGGCGAGAAGCAGGTGCGGGGGCTGCCACTGTGCCCGAGGTGCTCGGCAGCAGTTCCACCGTCCCGCATGCACAGGCAGGCTGCAGGGTGGGGCTGACCCCTGGTGTTCCTGTCCTGCAGCGGCTGGCCATGGCGCGCCTGCTCTTCCACCGCCCGCGCTATGCCATCCTGGATGAGTGCACCAGCGCAGTGAGCGCAGATGGCGAGCAGAAGCTGTACAGGTGTGGGTGCGGTGGGGGTGGTGGGTGGGGGTGAGTGGTGTGTGAGAGGGGGCAAGATGCTGAAAAGAGGCGGGGGTGCGTTGGCTGCTGCGGCTGCTGCACCATCTCAACCATGACCCCATGTGGTGCCCCTGCCGCTGCTGCAGCGAATGCGTGCGCGCCGGCATCACGATGCTGTCGATTGGCCACCGCCCTGCGCTGCGGGAGCACCACTCGGTCATCGTGGAGTTTGACGGCAGCGGCAACTTTGAGCAGCGCACTCTGCGCAGCAGCGACAAGGAGGGCCTGCTGGCGGCGGGGCAGCAGTAGCCCCAGCCCACTTTCGACCTTGCACAAGCCCCCAGCTCGTTATTTGATGACATTTTTCCTGTGGTTGGCTCCTCACAGTTGATCGCTTTCCGACCACTGACCTCTCTCAGCGCTACCTGTACTGCTCACCTTTCCTTGCTGTACTTATGTTCCGTTGGTCCATGATGCATAGACTGATGCATAGAGCACAGAGATACAAGCGCCAACTGGCAAGCTAATTTTACACAGCCAGGCACATGAGCAAAAACAAGGCAGCAGGAGACAATCACTTGCCAATCTTGAGCCATTTAGGGACTCCCTTGGCCCCGGTGCCACCTGCCCTGGCCGGCGTGGCAGCCGCCCCGCTCGCTGCCGCCAGCCCGCTTCTGGATGCGGCTCCCGCCGCCGCCTGCTGCTGGGCAGGCTTGTTGGCGTGCATGACTGCGGCACGCTCCGGCGGCTGCTCCACCAGCGCCAGCACCTCGGGCTTGATGAGCTGGCCGCCAGCTGGCACCTTGCTGACATCAATGCCCACGTGCACCTTGGCTGCGGGCACCATCTTTGCAGCATACAGGCTCGCCGACAGATCCTTGAGCACGGTCCTGGGCGGGGTGGTGAAGAGGTAGGCCGCAGCCGCAGCCTCCTCGGTCATCGCCGCCCGCGCCAGCGCCAGCACCGACCGCAGCGGCGCGGTGGCGGGCAGCGCGGTCTGCAGGCAGTGCTGGCCGTCCGGCAGCAGTAGTCGGATGGGCACAGCGCCGTGGCTCTCGGCGCGCCGCCGCTCCTCCTTCTCCCGCATCTGCACACCGGTGGGTGGGACGGGGCACGGGACATGCGGGCTGCCGAGGGGCTGGCAGGCTGCCACATGCTGGGCAGCACAGGGCCCTGCGGTTGCATGCATGCAGCTCAAGGCAGGTGAGCAGCGGGTGCCCACCGCCGCCGTCATCAGGTGGCCGCCCTCCTGCTTGGCACGCTGCGACACCTGGCTGGCCATCACTCGCCGCAAGTCCATCTGCGGGTCGATGAGGCGTGCCAAGCACATGCATGGACTGGAGCGGCACCACAGTCGGGGCGCCGGGCAGGCCAGTCGGGGCTGAAATGGCAGCAATGCATGCGCCGGGGAGCCGTGCACATAGGGCTGCGTGCCGTGTCCCCCGCAGGCGGCACCTGCTGCCTGCCCCCCCCCACACACCACCACCCACCACCCACACACACACTCCACTCACCTCTGTGAACTCGAAGAAGGCGTCATCCACGTCCTGAGGCCCAGCTCCTGCCGCGCTGCTCTCCGCCTGCTGCTCGGCGGCGCGAGTGAACACCCACACCCGCTGGCCAAACACTTCAACTGAAGGGTGCAAGGCGGCGGCGGCGGCGGCGGCGCTGCTGCTGCTGGGCTCTTCCATCGCTGCTGGCGCTGCTGCGGCTGGGGCTGCCGCTGGAGGCGCCTGGCTTGCCGCCGCTGCTGATGCCGAGGGCGCAATGGGTTGGGCTGCTGCTGCCGCAGGTGGCTGCTGTGCGGCAGGAGCCACTGCAGCCACGGGCTGTGGCGCCTCCTGCACCCCCAGCACTTGCTCGCGCCCTGCACAGGCACCGTGCATTGATGGTGAGAGGTGTGGAATGCGGGCACGGGCGAGGCGGTGGGGGCACGAGCATGCCGCTGCCGCCGCCGCTCGCGATGCCAGCAAGCGCGGCCTCCCACGGGCTCACACAACGTATGGCTGCAGCCCCGCAACCCTCACCCGTGTGCAGCTCCAGCTTGTCGCGTCCGATGTTGGCAAAGCGCACGGGCGTGGACAGGTCGAGCGCCTTGCCCTTGAGCACCAGGCGGCACTCCTCGGGGCGCACATCTGGCAGCTTGAGCTGGCCGAGCACCTCGGCCACTACCGCCGACAGCGGCTGCATGGGCGCGGCCTTGACGCTGAAGCGCTTCCCTGCGAGCAGAAGGGCGGGGGCCGGGTTGGGGTGGCCGCTGAAGCGGCGGCTGGAGCGGCGGGTTCCGGTGGGCGGCGGCGGCGGTGGCGGCACAAAGGGTTCCGGTGCGGCGGCGCGTGGTGAGATGCCCGGGACCTCTTTGGGGCGGCATTAAGGACACAGTGGGGGCAGGTGATCAGCCGCCCGGGCATCGATCGGTAACTCACTGTGCGCCTCAACGGTGATGGCCGACATGGCTGCTTCCCCTCTGGAAAATCGGGCCTAGAGAGCGCAATGATGAGGACGCTGCAGCGCAGCACGTGCTGTGCTTCGTGTGCTGCGCACCATTTGGTGCCAGCGATCTCGGGGGGATCCCCTCAATCGTTGATGAATCGTGGCCAGAACCGAGAGAGTGTGTGAACCCCTCCCAGAATAACCCGGGTGCTCTCGGTTTGCCACGAGTTTCCCAAGCACCGAGCGCATGGCTGCACCCTGGCAACGATGATGCCGCCCGAATGCCGCCAACAGGCTCCTGCATGCCTAATAGAAGGCTTACTGGGTGATGAGCTCCTTGAGGCTGTCTTCGCCGCCCTCCAGGGGTGAGCCCGCCTCTCGTAGCGCGCCCACCAACTTGCCCTCACCCTTGTCGCTTCCCTCCTGCACTTGCCTGAATGTGCCGGTCACCACGGTTTGCGCTGCTGTGTGCAGTGAGAGGCAGCGGGTGGCCAACCCCGACGCCTGCTGCGCCACCTCTTCCACCGGCCCCGACGGTGTTTGCGACAGCGCCGCACTGACCCTGGTCAACCGCCGCTGGCGCCGCGTCTTCAACACGTCCACCCTGCTGCACGCCACCCTCAACCTCAACCTCCACCACCTGGAGGCGCAGCTGGGCAGCCAGTGCAGCCCCCCCGATGACCGCGCGCTGCTGCTGCGCCTGCTGACGCAGCGCGGACGTGCCACGCGCCGCCTGTGGCTACACAGCGAGGGCGTGCAGCTGCGCATGGCCTCGGTGCTGCAGCTCATGTCGCCCAAGCTGCAGGCAGTGTACCTGGGGCAGGGCGCGCCAGATGACTGCCTGGCGCACCTGCACCGCTTCCCCTCGCTGCGCTCGCTCGACCTGCCGGCGGCGGCCGCCTGTGGGGCGCACCTGCTGCTGCCCGCGTTCAGCGGGCTGGAGGAGCTGACGCTGAGGGAGGGCGCGCCGGAGCTGATGCTCAGGTGGGGGTTGTGGAGGGGTGCGTGGGCAGAGCGAGGGCTGGGACAGCTGCAGTTTGGGGTTGTGTGGCATGAGGTCAGGGCTGTGCGCGAGGGTTGTGTGGGGACTGGCACACCTGGGGAGCCCCATCGCCCTGCGACTCTGCTTCAGCAGCCCACGTTGCCTCCGCCCGCCTCCCTGCAGCACGCTGGCCGGCCTGCCTCGCCTGCGGCTGCTGTCGCTGACGGTGACTGCTGCGCTTCCGGGCGACAGCCACCGTCAGCTGGCGCAGCTGAGCGCACTGGAGGAGCTGCACCTCTACCTACAGCCCTCCCAGCCCACGCAGTTTGAGTTCCAGCCAGGTGCGCAGCGCGCGGCATTCGCTGACGAGCCGTTGCTTTGAGGTTGCCCTAAGCCGTGGTGACTGCACCTTGAGCACATGCTTTGCTGCTTCAACTTGCCGCCCGCCCCGCCTCCCGCTCCTGCAGGCGCCCTGGCGGAGCTCAGCCGCCTGCGCTCTGTGCTGATCATGGCGCCGGGCTCCCTCAGCGAGTGTCTGGCGCTGGGCCCCGGCCTGCCTCGCCTCACGGCGCTGGAGGAGCTCCAGGTGCGGCGGCGCCCCGCACCGCCTGTGTGTGCCGCCCCCGCTGCCCGACTATTCACAGCGAGTGCCTGCGGGCCGGCATCGCGAAAAGCCGTGGTGGCTGGTGCCTGCCTGTCTGGCCTGTGCTGACCGCGTTGCTGCCTGGCCTGGCGCGGTGTGCAGGTGGAGAGCCGAGTGGAGTCGCTGCCTCCCGACCTCTGGGCCTGCCAGCAGCTGACCCGCCTGGACCTGGACCTGCGAGGGTCGGCCACCCTGCCAGCCCCCGCCACCCCTGGCCCCGCCTGCCTCCCCGCCCTGGCCGAGCTGCGCCTGGCGCGGTGCAGGCTGCCCGGCGGCGTGCTGCCGCCCGCGGTGTGCCAGCTCAGCGGGCTGTGCCGTCTGGAGGTCGTCAAGTGCGGGCTGAGCGGCGGCTGCGCACAGCCAGCGCTGCCCGCCCAGTTCAGCCGGCTGAGCAGCCTGGTGAGTTGCTGCTGCCCGGGCGGCTGCCGTGCCTGCCAACCCAACGCCGCGCGTCGGCATCGCTGTGTGCTGTCCCCTGTTGCGTGCCCGCCGACAAGCCAGCTACGTTACCTCGCACCCCAGCCCTCACCCCCTCCAACCCCTGCACTTCACTCCTGCCCTGCAGGAGCACCTGAGCCTGGAGGCGAACATGCTGTGCACGCTGCCCCCCGCCGTGGCGGCGCTGCCCTCCCTGCGCCACCTCGACCTCTCCTGCAACGCCCTGGCCTGGCTGCCCGCGGGCGCCTACCTGCTGCGCCTGGAGACGCTCATCCTGTCTGCCAACCGCGTGGCCATGGTGCCGCCGGTGCTGGGCGCCGCCGCCGCCCTCGAGGTGCTGGACCTAAGCGGCAACCTGGGGCTGGAGCTGAGCCTGCACGACGTGCACGCCACCCTGGCCCGCATGCCCCGCCTCGCGCTCTTCTGCTGCGGCAAGCACGCCGCCTGCGGCCTGGGCATGCCCATGCCCATGCCCGCCGCCGACGCCGCCGACGGCCCCGAGTGGCGCACGCCCTCTGTGGCCGCGCTGGTGGCCCTGGGCCAGGCCCTGCCGCACCTCCAGGTGTGTGTGTGTGTGTGTGTGTGTGTGTGTGTGTGCGTGATGGGCAGGCCAGGCCGCGCTTAGCCCAAGGGATCAGTTGTTGTGGGTTTTGAGCTCGTGCGCTTGGCCCTGCCGTCTTCTCACCTGCGCCCTCCCCTTCCCTTGGCGCAGGTGGACTTTGAGAGGACCGCCAAGGAGTACGAGGGCATCTGATGGCGCAGCGCCAGCCATGCCCGGGTGATGAACTATGCACCGCTGATGAACCCAAACCCTGCCAATACGGGGGACCCACATGAGGGCGCCCCCGACACCCAACGAACGCCCCGTCTGCAAGCCGGCGAGCAGCGACATGATATGCCCCAACACCGCTGCACAGCCAAACCAACCGGACAACGAACGACCCTCCCACCTCTACCCAAGTGCTAAGCACTGGGGATGGATACAATAAATTGCAATTCAATGATTGGCGAAGTGGTCCCATGTGCCAATCTCTCTCTGCCCTTGCTTTTGCTGCCTCGGAACAACAGCACCTGCTCGTGGCCCGTCTGCGCCCTGTCATCTCCAAGTGCCCCCCTGGCTGCAAGGTCTGCGATTCCCTGTCCCCACTCTGATCTCTCGCCTGCTTGCTTGTTCTTGTGCTAACCAATGCACATCGTTCCCCTCCGCTTTCCCCACAAAGTTGGCATTCTGTGGATGCTTGCAAGAGCGGATCCCTTCTCCCCACCCTTCATTCCTACGCCACTGGCCTTTTGTGTAGCGCGCAGTTGCCATTGCCATTGCATGCGGCATTTACCACGCATTCATCAGCAGGATCACAACCCGCCGAGTGTTTGTTTCACTTTGTTTGCCCTCACAGCACAATTGTATCTTGGAGAGCCACGTGTACCTTCTTTCTTTTCTCCCCCACCTCGAGCCACCTTCTTTCTTCTGCACACCCAAAGCCACCTTCTTCGCACACCCCAGGCCTCTGGGAGGGCAAGCTCTGGCTGACGCCGCTGGTGCAGAAGATTTGGACAGCTGGACAGCCCTCCCGTGCGTTTTTCGCCCCAGTGCCCAAACTCCATCTGCAATGCATGTCTCGGTTGTTATGTCCTTGCCTGCCGTTGTTTGTGTTACAAACATCCTGGAAAGTCGCAAGGCCGTTCAAGCTGCGCGTGCCGCGGGCGTGGGTTCTACCTTCACTGCCTTGTCCCCCGCTGCTGTCGCTGGTGCCTGCTGCTGCCTGCCAGCGAGCTTGGACCAGGCCTGCTTGGCCCGGATCATCGCCGCCTCATAAAAGTACAGGCCGCCGCCCTGGTCCAGAGGCTTGGGCTGCTTGGCGGCGGCCGCCGCGTGGCGAGACGCCGCCGCCGCCTCCCGCTCCCGCTCCTCCTGCGTGTCCTCCGCCTCGTCCTCAGCCATGAACACATCCTCCATGGACAGCGCCTGCAGGCAGGCAGGAAGAGGAGGGGCAACCCGTTGAGGGGCAGAAGTGAAGTGGGAGAGGCCAGTGAGGGCCAGGTGCGACGATGGGGTGCAGGCCCGGGCAGCCAGCAACGCCAGCTGGCAGGGCGGCCGCTCGGAGGGCTCCCATGCGCTCGCATTGGCCAGCCAGCCAGCCGACACCATCATGCAGCCGGCCAGCGCCGCGCTCACCCTGATGAAGGGGTCGCGCAGCACGTCCAGCACACCGCCGCGGTCGTACAGCGCGGGCCCTCCCTGCAGGAAGATGCGCTGCTCGCCGCCCGCCACGCTGGGCACGTCCACAGCCAGCAGCACAAAGCGCAGCTGGCCTGCGGGAGGGGCGCAAGGAGGAGGAGGAGGGTGGCAGGGCAGCGCTGACTGAGGTGGCTGCGCCGGGGAGGCACGCATGCAGCCGCAGTGCCACGGCAGCACGCAGGCACCCCCAGGCAGCCATTCCAGCGCCCAGCCCCACCCACCGTGCCGCTTCTTGGCCTCGAGGGACGCCAGACCGCGGCGCTCGGAGCCCTTGAGCGGGACTGCAGCAGCGGGTGGCAGCACAGGCGCAGACAATCAGCCGGCGCACTACGACGCCCGCAAGCCCTTCGGCTGGCAGCATGCAGCCGCCCAGGTGGCGCCAGCATGGCTCACAGATCATCTGGATGCGCTTGCTGCGCAGCCGCGGGCGCAGCCCCTTGAATTTGATGCCGCCGCCGGTGAGCACGCTGGCCTGCACAGGGCTGCCCACCAGCGGGGCGCCCATCACCTGCACGCAGAGGCACGGTGAGGCATCAGGATGGTGTGCCAGCCATGCACGGAGCGGAACGGTGCTCAGGACGCCCCCTGCTGCAGAAAACTTGCCCAGCTGGCTGCGAGTGTGTGGGGTGGCCCGCTCTCAACCCGAGTGCCGCCACCGGCTGTGCGCTGGGTCCCCTGCGCCACCCCCGCTTACCTCCAGCAGGCCCGGGTGGGTGTTGAGGCGGTACATGGCCAGGCGGTACGCTGCCTGCGGGTCGATGGTGTACCGCCGACGCAGGTACAGGTAGCCAAAGGCGACGGCGGAGGCGGCCAGCGAGAACAGGCCCATGGTGGCCATGGTCTCGCTCAGGTCCACAAACAGCTGCAGGCACGCGCCCAGGGTGTGGCGGGTGGGCAGCGGCAGCGTGGGCAGCGCCAGCAGGCAGCAGAGCCAGCGGCAGGAGAGTCGGGGGCAGGTGGCGGCAGCTCATTGCGTGCGCAGCCGCCAAGCAGGGGGCAGCACAGGGAGCGCGGGCCAGCCTGCTCCTGCCACGCCAAGCTGCCCAGGGCCGCGTGGCAGGCGGGCACACCTGGCTGGTGCGGTACAGCGTGCGCCACAGGGCGTAGCACAGCGTGGCCGCCCCCAGGCCGACGATAGCCTTGCTGTGGTTCTGCCAGAAGGCGGTGAGCTGCAGGCTGATCACGCGGTTCACTGCGCCTGGGGTCTGCACAGCGCCGAGCCAGCACCGGCCAGGTGGTCGGCCTGCCGCCAATGGGCATGCAGGGGCATGGCTGGCACGCGCAATCACCCAATCGTCCACCCCCAGGTAAGGCAAAGCTCCTGCACACCACTCACCTGCGCCGCATTCACCAGCTGCTTGGCGGAGGTGGGCAACACTTGGTACAGGGCACCGGGGGCCCGCGATACCACGCCGCCGGCCGCCTTCAGCGCATCACCAGAAGCGGTGGCTACCTTCTTGATGCGCTGTGCCGCCTCCTGCATCGACTCTCGTGCATTGCTGCTGTACGGTCGTAGCCCTGCCGCCGCCGCTGCCGCCACGCTGCTGGTACCCTTGCCCGCGTGGGACGTGGCAGCGGCAGCAGCCGGCAAGCGCAGGCCGCCAGCGTGCTGCCAGGCTGCTGCTGCTCCCCCTGCTGCTGTTGAATGGGTGCAAAGGGTGTGTTCCTGCAGGCGCACAACCACGTGGAGCTCAATCAAGGCAGCAGGTGTGTTGGAGGTGGAGAGCGTCACGTCCCAGCGGCAACCGCCACTGCCGCCTCCGTCCTCCCTGCGCACCTGGGCGGGCGCTAGGCCCGTGGCCACCGATTCCTTCCATGGCCCAGCATGGGCCTCCCGTGCCGCAGACCTGCCCCACTGGCCCAGGCCACGAGCCAGAGCCCTCCTCAAAGCCATGTTTGCAACCCTTCACAGGGAAGCGGGGGCGGCTGTTGGAGGATCCCTGACCCCTGCAATCGGCAGCTGGACCTCCTCGGCTCAACCCCTGGGGCCTCGTGCCGACAGGAGCAACCCAACTTTGTCACAGCCACCGATTTGATCGCCCCGAGGGCCGGGCACAGGGCAGTCTGTCGATTCGTGATGATCAAAGCTGCAGCCCCCTCCTCTCCTCGTTTGGGAACAACATGTACCGCCTGAACCAAACTTGCACTGTACAAGCCCCTGCTGCATGACCAGTAATGCTGTTGACGCGCCAGTGATGCCAGACACCTGCTAAGGCGACCGTGAGGCAGCCATGTGGGGGCAGCTTGGCAAGGTGGCTGCTGCGGCCAAAAAGGCAGCAGCCACGGTCGCGTCAGAGGCAGCAGCAACTGTTGCCGAGCTTAGAGAAGTGCACCAGGTGGGGACTTGTTCAGGTTGGCATTCGAAGTGGGGTTTGATCGCTGGGCTCCTGCACTCTCCTACTGTGCGCCACGCTCCCCCTTACCTTCAGGACGAGTGGGCTCGCAACCGGGAGAGGGAGATTAGGGAGGCGGCGCTGGCGGAGGGGCAGCAGGCGCCTGCCGACGGCTACTCCTCGCAGCGCGAGGGCCCCTCCTTTGGAGAAGGGCCAGTGCAGGGCGATGGCTTGCAGCTGCATCTGGCTGCCGCCTCTCCAGTGACTGCATCTCCGCAGCCCTGGGAGCCGCAGCTGGTCAACGGTAGTGCGCTCGGTGGCGGCGTGGCAACCGACCCTCAGCCGCCCCAACCGCCACCACCCCCGCCCCCCATGTTTGCGCCTCCCCCGATGGCGCCTCGAGCGCAGCCGCTGCAGCCGCTGCCATTTGCCCCTTCGCGGCCGGCTGCCGCAGCGGGCAGGCCGCTGCATCCTGCGGCGCCAGCACAGCCGCTGCAGCGCGTGGCAGCACCCTCGGAGCCGGTGCCGCCCGCGGCGCCACCCCCGCAGCAATTGCCGCGGCAACCGCCAGCAGCAGCACCTGCGCCGCCTGCAGCTGCACCCACCACCGCACCTGCAAGCGATGTGTCCTCACGGCTGGCGGCGCTCAAGGCCAGGCTGCAGGCGGACAAGGCCAGGGTGGCGGGCACCAGCCGCACGGTCAGCACAGCAGGCAGCTCCGTTGCTGGCACGCCACACCGCGCCGGCACCTCTGCCAGCAGCCTGCCTGATGTGGCAGCCGCTGCGGCAGCGTCGGCGGCAGCGGCACCCGCCGCGCCTCCGCCGGCGCCACCGCCACCAGCCCCAGCTCCATTCGCCCCGGCAGCCCCCTCCCCACTGGGGTCTCCACACCAGCAGGATGCCAGCCTGGCCTCCCTGCTGGCCCATGAGCATCAGCAGGTGCCGCCACACATGCAGCAGCATGAGGATGGCGAGGGCCCGCTGTTCCACGCCTACCAGCCAGCCCACGCCGACCACCAGCCCGAGCACCAGCACCCCAGCTGGCTGCCCCAGCCGGCGCCCCTCCAGCACGTGCAGCATGGGGAAGGGCAGCACCAGCAGCAGCAGGACGAGCAGCCTGCACTTCAGGCGCCCGCGCCTGCCCCCGCCGTGGCAGCGGCGCCGTCTGCTGGCAGCACACCTGGGTCTGGTGCCAGCCCAGCTGCAGCCCAGCAGCCAGTCGAGCAGCTGCCCGCTGTGCAAGACCCTGACAAGTCGGCACAGGCAGCAGCAGACGCAGCCGCCGCCGCTGCGGCAGCTGCAGCCGCAGCCGCAGCTCGCGAGGAAGCGGCAGCAGCAACCGCTGCCGCGGCGGCGGCACGGGAGCAGGCTGCTGCGGCGGCACAGCAGCTTGCCGAGCTGCGGCGCGCTCATGAGCTGGCCACAGCGCAGGCAGCGCAGCAGCTGGATGCGGCGCGGGCTGAGGTGGAGGGCGAGCGCCAGGCGGCGGCATCGCTGATGGAGCAGTTGCAGCAGGAGCGGCAGCAGCATGCGGCGGCCAGCACCAGCCTGGCGGCGGCACAGCGGCAGGCTGCGGAGCTGTCTGCGGTGTGCGAGGCGGAGAAGGCGACCCTGGAAGAGCTGGCAGAGCAACTGGCGGCTGCGCGGCTGGCGGCGGCGCAGCTTGACGATGAGCGGCGGCAGCATGAGCTGACGCGGCAGCACCTGGAGCAGCTGCAGGAGCTGCAGCACGACTCGGCAGGCCGCTGCGACCGGCTGAACGCCGCTGTGGCGGAGCTGCAGCAGCAGCTGGCGGCGGAGCAGGCTGCCCGGCAGGCCGCCGCGGTGCAGCTGGCTGCCATGCAGCAGGCGGCAGCGGCGGCGCAGCAGGCGGCTGACCTGGGGCAGCAGCAGCACGAGGAGGACGTGCTGGCAGCGCGGGACGCCTTCTGGCAGCAGCAGCTGGCAGATCAGCAGGCCACGCTGCAGGCGGCCCTGGCGGAGCAGCAGCAGCTGACGGCCGAGGCGGAGCGGCAGCGCCAGGGCGGCGCGCAGGCGTCTGTGGCCGCCTCGGCCCGGGCGGCACGCCTGGAGGCGGAGGTGCATGCTGCGCGGCAGGAGCTGGAGGCGGAGCGTGCGGCCGCCAGCCAGCTGCAGGTAGGCGGGACGGAACGCTGCAGGCAGAAGGGATGGCGGTTGCGTTGGTGCTCTCTGCCCCCGCAGTCGCACGTTGCATGGGGCCTGCCCAGCGCTGCCGCTGCCCCCCCATGTGCAGGATGATGTGGCTCGCCTGCAGGCTGCACTCCAGGAGGCGCAGGCAGCAGGCCAGGCGGCGGTCGCCACCCAGGGCAGCACCGCAGGCGAGATGGCGGCGCAGCTGGATGCGGCGCGGCGTGAGTGTGCTCGGCTGCAGCAGGAGGTGGAGCGCCTGCAGCACCAGCACCAGCAGGCGGAGGCGGCAGCCAGCGGCACCGACGGCCTGGCGACAGAGCTGCAGCAGCGGTGAGGGCCAGCTCGCGGGCTGGCTATGGTGCCTAGCTAGCTCACGCAGCAGGCTCCTGGCATCTCATAGGCTCACTAAAGCACCTCTTGCTGTCTCTCGATGCCCGCCTCACTGCTTGCTGGCCCACTGCGTGCCATGCGACTTCCGCAGGGTGGCCGAGCTGGAGGCTGCTCTGGCTGCCGCGGATGCGGACCGCGCTGGGCAGCGGGCGCAGCTGGCCCGGCTGAAGCAGCAGATGCTGAATGAGCAGGAGGATGAGGAGGACAAGCTCAGGTGGGAGCGAGGGAAATGGTGACCGTTGTCTTGTTCAGGACGAGTGACTAAGGGCTGCAGTTGTGGAGGGCTGCTCTTGTGAGAGCTTGGCTGCAACCTGAGAGGCCTTGCCACCTGCCTGAACCACAAAGCGAGTCATGCGCGCATGATTGGGGCAGGCGCTGAGTCATGCGCACATGACTGGGGCAGGCGCTGAGTCATGCGCACATGACTGGGGCAGGCAGCGACCCAGTCATGCGCGCATGATTGGGGCAGGCAGCGACCGAGTCATGCGCACATGACTGGGGCAGGCAGCGACCGAGTCATGCGCGCATGATTGGGGCATGCAGTGACCGAGTCATGCGCGCATGATTGGGGCAGGCAGCGACCGAGTCCTGCGCGCATGATTGGGGCAGGCAGCGACCGAGTCATGCGCGCATGATTGGGGCAGACAGCGACCGAGTCCTGCGCGCATGATTGGGGCAGGCAGCGACCGAGTCCTGCGCGCATGATTGGGGCAGGCAGCGACCGAGTCCTGCGCGCATGATTGGGGCAGGCAGCGACCGAGTCCTGCGCGCATGACTGGGGCATGCAGTGACCGAGTCCTGCGCGCGTGATTGGGGCATGAGGCACAGACCAGTGACTGCCGGCTGCCCAACCACCCCACCACACCCCACAGCATTCCCCCCCCCCACCCCCTGCCCCTCAACCCCAGGTGGCGCGTGGAGGCGGAGGTGAAGATGGAGCTGGAGAAGCTGCGGGCAAACGGCGGCGCCGAGGCGGCGGCGTCGGGCGGCGCCGCGGGCGCGCGGCTGGCCGAGGAGCTGGCTGCCGCCCGGGGGCGGTGCGCCACGCTGGAGGATGATGTGGCCAAGTGGGAGGCGGCGCTGGCGGCCAGGGATGTGGAGCTGCAGAACCTGCAGCGCGCGCTGGGTGAGGTGCTGCGCAGCGTGCTGGCTGCTGCCCGGCTGGTGATGGCAGGCCTGCTGGCGCCCGCCCTGCGGTCCCCCTGTGCCCTGACACGCCGCCTTGCCTCCAGTCCTGTGCCCCCTCATCGCCCGCCCACCCCCACCCACTCCGCCAACCCTCCGCAGGCGAGCTGAGCTACGAGAGCGACGCCGCGGAGCGGCTGCGATCCGAGCTGCGCGCCATGCAGGCGGATGCGCACTCGCTGCGCAACGAGCTGGACGGCGCCAAGCTGCAGCACCTGCGGCTGCAGGAGGAGGCGGCGGCGGCGCGGGCGGCGGCGCAGGCCGCACAGCAGCAGCTGGAGGCGCAGCGGGAGGGGGAGGGCGTGCTGCAGGTGGGCGGCTGCCTGGCTGCCCTGGCATGCCAACACATGGCTGGCTGCTGGGGTGGTTGCTTGTGTAGGGGGTTCACAGTAGGCATGGAGCGGCACGCTTGCCCACTGCCTTTGCCAGTCCTGCCGCCGGATGCCAGCATGCTGCCCTTCCTGTCCCACTCCCGCCTCGCCCCGCTTCCCTGGGATGCAGGCTGAGGCGCTGTCTGTGCGGCGCGCCCTGGCCGAGGCCCAGCGCAAGCTGCATGCGCTCTCCTCCGACACCGGCGCCATGATTGACCGCCGCATCGTGGTCAAGATGCTCATCACCTACTTTGAGAAGGACTTCTCGGGTGGGTGGCGGTGCGGTGGGGTGTTGCCTGGTGTGCGAGTGTGGTTGCAACTGGTTGCGTATGCACACGTCACCACCCACTGCCCCCGCGCCATGCCCTCCATGCCTGCCTGCCTCGTGCCCAACCCTGTGCAGGCGAGGTGCTGGACCTGATGTGCAGCATGCTGGGGTTCACACCCGAGGAGCGAGCCAAGATTGGGGAGAGCCGGCGGCGGCAGGGCTGGCGCGACATCAGCCTCGCGTCTGACGCCACGCTGCCACCTGGCCAGGCAGCCGCCAAGCAGTCGCTGGCAGACAGCTGGGTCGACTTCTTGCAGCGCCAGATCGAGGCTGAAGCGGCGGGGGCCGCCGACGGTGGCGGCGGTGTGGCCAGTGGTGCGAGCGCAGCCAGCGCCGTGCCTGCTGCCAGCGCCCCTGGCCAGCAGCCGCAGCAGCCGGCGCCCCCGATCCTGTGACGCTGAGAGGGCCACCAGCCCGAGAGGGCGACCAGCCCCGCTCAAACGTTCCTACATTTCATTGCCTTCATTGTAGAGCAGTCAGCAGTCCTAGCTTTGGAAGGAAAAGCAAGACCCATCTTCGTTGAACACCAGCTGCAGCAGACAGTACTACTCGCGGCAGGATCGTTACACAACTGCGGGCAGAACCGAGCATGGCACTGCTCAATCCAGGTACGGGTCATCGCCTTCCACCTCCTCGTCATCATCGTAGTACTCGTACCCATCCTCCTCCCCCTGCCCCTCAACCAGAGACTGCAGCAGCGAGTGATCCTCGCCCTCCTCCCCCTGCGTGCTGTTGTCAGCGACCGCAGCGGTTGCTGGGACAGGGGGCCCAGCATCGCCAGCCGCCTCGCTGCTGCCATCGCTGCTCGCTGCTGCTACTGCTGCTGCTGGCACCGCCAGCGCCGCCCCCGGCTGCACCTCTGCGGCGCAAGTGCCGTCGGCCTGCTGCGCCGCGCCGCTGCCGCAGTGCGTGCCGCCGTCGGCGGCCACGGCGGTGGCCGCCTCTGTGGCTGACAGCGGGTGGCACTGGATGAGGGTGGCCGGCAGGGGCTGTTGCTGGAAGGCGGGGTGCTTGCAGAGGCGGGGTGTGGAGATGGTGGCCACATAGTGGCAGCTGGCCAGCTCCTTGATGGAGGTGAGCAGGGTGTCCTCGCCGGCGCCGCACGTGAAGCGCACCTCCGCCTGCCGGGGCTTGCCCGTCAGCTCGCACGCCTCGCCGCCCACGTACTGCTGGGACACGTACCGCAGGGCTCCAGACACCTCGCTGGAGTCAACCTGCAAGGCGGCGGCGGCGGCGGCGGCGGGGATTTTGGATGGCGGGGCAGGAAGGAAAGGTACTCCAAGGTCAAGAGCCAGTGTTACCGACAGAGGGGCTGCCACCCACCTGCACCTCGTCCGCCTGTGGCTGGCCCTCGTCGTACCGCCCCAGCAGGTACTGCGACACCACCTTGCCGCTGTCCTTGTGGTACTGCCGCAGCTTCTTCTTGTAGCACAGCTCATATGTCCACCACTCCTCGATGCGGTAGTAGCAGTGCTCGGCTGCGGGGCCGGCAGGGAGCGGAGCTGGGCATTCGGGCCAAGGCAGCCGCATGTAGATGAGCCCAGCAGCTGCCAAGATGAGCCCTCGCCTCAGCCAGCCCACAAGCAGCCACCCTCACCCAGGGCCTCCAGCAGCTGGCTGGGTGTCTTCTGGGCCAGCAAGGAGCCCTCTGCTGCCTGCACAACTAGCGGGCAGTGTGGCGGATCTGTTTGCATCAGAGGATACAAAGCTGCGGGGCCATTCAGGCACACAGCGCCCACCCACCCACCCACCGTGCTCACGCTGCTGCTGCCGCCGGATGCATCCGCTGCTGCTGCTGCGGCTGGGTCTGGGATGTAGCACCGGTAACTGGTGCCGTTAGCGCTCCGCATCAGCATGGTACGGTGCGGCCGCGAAGGTTGCTGGTGGCCAGCTGCGAAGGCGGAGCGGGCGGGGGCGGGCGGGATGGTGGGGGCGGCGTGTCGGCAGCGGGAGCGCAGGCAAACACGACGATGGAGGCAGCACATACGGCCCTGCAGTCCCTGTTGCACACCTTCCTTGCCGAAGCCCACGACGAAGGTTTGCGCCTGCTCATCTCCGTCTACAAAGTTTGGAGCGCTGTCAGTCATGTACACCACTTGCACGTGCCCTTGTGCAAGGCAGGCTGCCAGGAGCAGGGCGATCGAGAGCCTGGCCGCTCTGTGGCCGCCAGACATGGTGCCTGGCACCCAGCACGCTCGTGACATAGTCGTGTCAATGCTCGAATGCCGTTTGCAGACGGTTTGGGGATGATAGATGGGCAGTCCCGCAAATGATGAGTTGGCAGTGTGTTCATTTTCATGGACACAACGTTCAAAGCCTTGCCAAGGCCGCAGTGTGGCACATTCAACCCGGACAGCATCCCCATATCTCCCACAGGCGCCTGACTGGTTGCCATTGCAGCAGCACACATGGCCACCACAGTCGCAGCAGCCCCGGCGCCTTGCGCCGCTGCTTGCAGCAGGTCTAGTAGCAGCCGGCAAAGCAGGGGGTCGATCCCCGGAAGCAGCCGGCTGGTTCGTGTGAGGCGTGTGCCTACTCCTGCCTTTGCCGCCGATCGAGGTGAGCCTGCACGCCAGCGCCGCCACCAGCCCTCCTCCTGCCTGTTGTGTCGTTCACACACCGGGCAGCCCGGTTGGTGTGGTGGGTGGTGTGGTCCGTGGCGGCGGCGGCGGCAGCGCTGCCGCCTGGGCAGCAACGAGTCAGCGCCTGAATGCGTTGCTCCTCGCCATGCTGCCGCGCCTCATCCCCGGCCGCAGGCAGCCGTCAGGCGCGCCGGCAGCTGGTGTCTGCGGCGGCAGCGGGCGACGCGGCCAAGGCGGTTGGCGGCACCCCCGTGCCCAAGAACGCCATCCTGGTGGTGGGCGGCACGGGCACGCTGGGCCGCCAGGTGGTGCGCCGCGCCCTGGACGAGGGCTACGAGGTCCGCTGCATCGTTAGGCCGCGCCTCTCCCCCGCAGACTTCCTGCGCGACTGGGGCGCCACCACGGTGCAGGCAGACCTGACAGACCCCACCTCCCTGCCCGCCGCCCTGGTGGGCGTGTCCGCCGTCATCGACTGCGCCACGGCGCGCCCCGAGGAGTCCACCGACAAGGTGGACTGGGACGGCAAGGTGGCGCTGATCCAGTGCGCCCAGGCCATGGGCATCCAGCGGTGAGGCGCGGGGGTGGCCCCGGGGAGGGCGCCGGCTGGGTGCCATGCATGCATGGCCGGGGGTGGGCGCATGCTGGGAGCCCCCCGTGTGCTGTTTGCACTTCGCAGCGGGCGCTGCCGAGCGCTGGCACGGTGGTTGGCCAGCTCCAGCATGCCGTGCCGCTCAACAGCTCGCGCCTCCCACCGCTGCGTCGCCGCCCCCGCGCCCCGCAGCTACGTCTTCTGCTCCATCCTGCACTGCGACAAGCACCCCGAGGTGCCGCTGATGAGCATCAAGCACTGCACCGAGCAGTTCCTGGCCTCCAGCGGCCTCAACTACACAGTTTTCCGCCTCTGCGGCTTCATGCAGGTGGGGCCCGGGGACATGCGGGCGAGTGTGGGTGCTCTGGTGGTGGCGAGAGGAGGGGCCAGCGGGGCCTGCAGCGGCCTGCCATGAGCGGGGCAGCACCCCTGAGGCCTTCACCAGCAGCCCGGCACGCAGCGCCCTCTGAACCTGCTGCCGCTGCTGCCCCGCCTGCCTGCAGGCCATCATCGGCAACTATGCGGTTCCCATCCTGGAGGAGAAGCCTGTGTGGGGCACCACCGACGCCACGCGCACAGCATACCTCGACACGCAGGCACGCGGGCGGGGGCGGGGGCGGGGGGCAGCAGCCCGCGCCAGCTAGCGCACGTCGTGGCAGAGAGCTAGCCCCACCCGGACCGGCTGCGGCCGAGCAGCTGCCAACCCTCCGCTCTCCTGCCCTGTTCTTTCCTTTTCGTCGTGCTGCAGGATGTGGCGCGCATGATCATGGCCGCGCTGCGCACGGACGCGGCGGTGGGCAAGACGCTGCCGCTGGCGGGCCCCAAGGCCTGGTCCACAGCCGAGGTCATCGAGCTGTGCGAGAGGCTGGCGGACTGCGACGCGGAAGTGCGCAACGTGCCGGTGTGGCTGCTCAAGGGCACGCGCGGCCTGCTGCGCTCCTTCCAGTGGGCCGGCGACGCCGCCGACCGCCTGGCCTTTGCCGAGGTGCTGTCCTCCAACGAGAGCTTCAGCGCGGACATGGGGGAGACGTACGAGGTGCTGGGGGTGGACCCCGCCTCCGTGTCGGGGCTGGAGGAGTACCTCAAGGTGGGCTGCGGCTGGGTGTGGGGGGGGGGGCTCATGCGCAGTGAGGCAGCCTAGCCTGTGGCCTGCTCAGGCCGCCTGCACGGCGCGCTCATGTCCTGACTGCTGGGCGCTGGCCGTCTGCTGCGTGTGCTGCCTGCAGTCGTACTTTGACACCATCCTCAAGCGGCTAAAGGTGCGCGTGTGGAGAGGCCTGCGGCGCTCGTGCATGGTGGTCCTCATGCTTTCCACTGCGCCCCTGCGTACAATTTGGTGGGTTTCTGCTGGCTCACCAGGCGTTGGCGCCCCTTTTGCCGCCACTTTCTTGCAGGATGTTGGCGCATCCTCCAAGCAGACTAACTTCTACATCTAAGCCAGTCCGCGCTTTTGGGGGCCGGCTCTGCACCCTCAGCTTGTTGCCTTTGTGGGAAGAGGCAGCCTGCAGCCTCCCATGACACGGCCAGGGCACCCATCCCTCCCCTGGGCTTTTTCTTGTATCTGGTGTTCCGTGCCCGGCACGCACAAGTATGCGACGCTGGGGCGCGGCGTGTGTCGCTGTGTTCCCGTCCAAACCCCACCCTCTCCGTCCTCGTGCCATTGATTCTTTCCGCTTGCTTTCTCTGCGCAACCCTCATCATTTGAGAAGAGAACTGCTTTGCCCCTTGCCTTGCCTAGCTCCCGGGGTGGACATTTTTTTATACTGCTTTTTGTTCACCCTGCTCAGCTGTAAACCGAAGGGCCAACCAATGGACTGCGCACCCAGGGCAAGATTATGCAGCATGCTCAGCCAGAGACTTTCTGTATGGTGCTATCACAGCCAGAGACCAGGGACACAGCGACACCGGCTTCAGCCAGCTGAACACCAGTGCTGCCACGTTGGCATCAGGTGGGCGGCACATACGTCCTGTAATCTGCATTCTTGGGCATGTTGACCCCTGGAATCGGCACGGTGCTGACGCTGGGCGGCACATACCACCCCTCCCTCTCCAGCTTCGTCCTGCACCGGGCAAGACCAAGGTGAATCAGGAGATGGACAGCCATGCAGGAGCCGGCCAGCGCCTGCCTGGCCTCACATGCCTGCTGAGCGCCAGGCTAGCCCTACACACACCAGGCCATGCGCCTCGCCAGCAGCTGTCCACCCAGCCTCAACCAAGCCCACCTGAACAGCTCCGGGTACTGCTTCTCCTCCTTGGTGCGCGTGTCCTCCAGCACCACCGGCTTGTCCAGCAGGTACAGCGGCTCCCGGAAGTCCTGCGGGCACGCGGGACAGCAGCAGGCAGGCAGGCAGGCAGGCTGGGGCGAGCATGACCCCCACCCATGCCGCTCGGGCAGTGGCGATGGCAAGGCGCTTGGCGCTGCCCATGCCACTCACCTTGTTGAGCCAGGGGGTGGGCACCAGCCGCCCCTCACACATGCGGGGCAGCAGGTCGGCCCAGGCGCCGCTGCCCAGCGCGCCATCCACGTCGTCCCGCACGCTCTGGCAGAACACGATGCGGCGGTAGCCCTTGACCTGCGCGCCAGCCAGCGGCGGGTGGCATTGCAGGTGGATCAGTGCTTGAGGCAGCAGGGGTGCCGGGCTGGCCGCACCGCTCCCCCGCCTCCTGGAGTGCGTCGACATCCACACCGACCCCTCCCCGCCAGCCCGCCCCACCGTGCCAAGGTCGATCCACTCGTGCTCCTCGCCGTGCCCGATGAGCTGCAGCCAGTGGCGCACTTCGCCGGGGCCCTCCACGTCTGCCACGCGCTGCTCCAGGGCGCGCGACAGTCGCAGGGGGGTGGCCTCAGGGGAGGGCGGGCGCAGGCCCTGGTGCAGGTGGATGCCGAGGGCCACAGACTCCGCCTCCAAGTGCTGCGAGTGCACAAACCTGCGGCGGGAGGGGCAGGCGCCTGGCTGGTGGTGGTGGGCGGCTGGGTGGGCTGAGAGGCGCCCGGCGCCAGGCCAGGGTCGCTCGGTCGGCTTGGGGAGGCCAGCAGGCACGTGGGCACCCCCTCTAGCTTTGCGGCGCCGCACGCCACCAGCCCGCCAGCCGCTGCACCAGGCGATCAATGCCGGGGGCGGCGCTCACCAGTAGGCGGGCACATACAGCGCGTCGCCTGGGCCCAGGATGGCGGTCTGCCCCCGCACGCCGCTAAACTTGGGCCACAGGCCCAGGTCCGGCTCCTCCAGGTCCACCATGCAGTATCGGTCGTAGGTGTGGTGGATGGGGTAGGGGTACAGCCCCTCAAAGGCCTGCCCGGGATTCAGCAGCAGCACGCGGCGCCGCCCCGTGACCTGCACCACCAGCCGGTCCTCCAGCTCATACTGCGCGGGCAGCAGGCCGCCCGTGGTGCCGGCATCCAGGTCCACACGCGTCACGGGGCCGTAGCGCTGCGAGCGGCGCAGCCCCGCCAGCCAGCCCCAGTCGACGCCGCCCTCCAGGTCGTGCCTCAGACCGCGGCCGCACACGCTGCCGGCATCCACCTGAGGCCTGCTGCTGGCTTCCAGCCTGCTACCGCTGCTGCTGGGGCTGCCGGTGCCGGTACCACTGGGCGACGGCGCTGCCGCAGTCGCCTGGCTGCCTGCGGCCTGTTCTGGCTGCTGGTACCGCATGACCGTTTCCTGCGCCCAAGTCAGGCAGGAAGTCGCACCCAGTGGATGCCCCCACCATCTAGAAGACACACAGGCAGAGCCTGGGTGTCAGCAGCAGCAGCAGTAGCAAAGACCCCTGTGCAAGATGCAGGAGCTGCTGCCGTTCACAGCTTCGCGCTCTCACCCGCACGTGCACCCTGCGCGCGCGCCACTGCGCCGCGCACTGCACGAAGTCCGGGAAGGGCATGTCCAGGCGCTGCGTCTCGGGCTCCCGCACATGGTACAGCCTGGAGTGGGGGCGCACCACAGCCTGTAACCCTGCCGCAGCAGCAGCATGCCGCCCATCCGAGGCCGGAGGCAGCATGCCGGCTCAGGACTGCCTGCCGGCTGCATCACGCATGCTATCCAGTGTGCGCCTGGCCGGTGCAAACCACCCTGCCTCCTGCCTTCCCCACCCCACCAATCATCCCAAGCCCAGCCCACCCGCCATACACGTTCTTCACGTCGTCGTACTCAAAGAAGCGCTGGCGCCTGGCGTTGGAGCACAGCACGCGCAGCTGGTGCTGCCCGCCGATGCACCGCGCCTGCATGGGTGCGACATGGCACGGCACATTGCCAGCCTGGCCCTCTTGGCACCCTCCCTGTGCAGCAGGACAGCACCACCAGCAGGCCGCCAGCAGCGCGCTCACCAGCTGCTGGAAGCTCCACCTGCCCACCAGTCCCGCAGCCAGCGGCGTGCCGCGCAGCAGCACCGGCTGGTGCGTCCACAGCTTGTTCAATGTGCGGTACACGTTCTGGGCGGTGTCCAGCCTGATGTAGTCCACCCAACCGTCGGCCAGCTGGCCGTGGAAGCGGGGGCGGGGGTCGCCCTCGCGCTCGCCGTGCTCCGCATCCCTGCGGGATGCCAAAAGAAGTGGGAAAGCGCGGAACATGAGGACGTGGCTGTCCAGGCATGCACATACCACGGTGTTCGATTGCAAGTGGTGGTGGTCTCCTGTGCAAAGCAGGCACGATGGTCACCGCCACAGGCGGCAGCCTCTGGCCGCCGCCGCCGCCCTCACGTGTAGGCCACTGCCGTCAGGCGCGGCACGTTAGTCTGCAACTCTGGCGGCTGGTTCTTGCGCGGCCGCACTCTACCCTTGCCGTGGGCCGCGGTCTGCTCCCACTTGCGGGAGGCAGCCGGTGGCTCGCCGGCTTCCCCTTTGACCGCCACGCCATCGGGCGTCATGGCGGTGTCCCAGCCACTTGCGGAGTCTTGGGGGCCCTAGGGGAGTACCACCAACGATGGAGCGACTTGCAGGATGGTTGATGGTCGGAAGCACGGGGTGCTCGAGGGCGCACACGTTTAGGTGAAGCAAGCATGCAATTGGCGGAAGCAGAGGACGGCGAGAGGCAGTGGATCGGGTGATTGATGTAGTGCCCGCTTCCGGCCCGCCCCGCCGCCGCCAGCAGCCGCACGTCTTCCGCAAAGCCACAGCTGCCAGTGTTACGGTCGCACTGTAACAGTATGACTTGTGAACATCACAGCGACATTATGAGCTATGCAACTGGCATGGGCGGTGAAGTCATGTGCTTGTGGCGATGCGCAACCCTCGGCTCAGCTCGAGAGGGCGCAGCATGGCACCGGGTGACCCCGGCAGGCCTGGCAGCGGGCTCCTTGCTGGACATTGTGGGAAGATGGAGTGGGCACTGGGAATGAGAAAGTAACAAACAGACTTCTCCTCCAAACACTTTTAAAGCTGCGCACAACCTGTGCTGGGAAGTAATTTAAATTTGCAGTTAGTACAAAAAGTTCAGAAGAAACATTTCTTGAGGAGGATCGGCAGGGGAAGCAGCGTAGGTTCAAAATACTCAAGAAGGAAGAGAAGAGAGGTTCTGTAGTGTACGAGCGGTAGGCATGGGATGACATGTAACGAGTGCTGAAGACAAAATTTCAACAAAAATCAGCCCTTTGCCAGCACGATGATGCGAGAGTCCTTGGCCGAGAAATGGTGCGTTGACTCCGAGGGGGGCACCAGGAACAGCTGCTCGCCAGTGATGTACCCAAGCGCCGTCTCCCCCCTGCATACAGCATTGGTGTGGATGAAGCCCGCGCTGATGTTTAGCAACATCCTGCTGAAAACATCACTGCCGCCGATTCGTACCTGCACCTAGCCAGCTCCCCCACCGCCGCAAAGGAGGTGCCGCTGCCGTTGAGGCCGTACCGCTCGGGGCGCCGCAGGTAAATTTCGTTGCCCTTGCAGCTATCAATCAGCTCCGACAGTGCAGGGGCCAACGCCGGCTCGTGGGCCACCTGTGTGGAGCAGGTGCAGCAGGGTCGGCCCCAGGACGCTACAGGATGCAACGTGTTGCTATCTTGAGAAACGGTGCACAAGACATGGTGCCTCTCCCGGGCTTTCTGGAGTCCGAGAGAGGTTAAAGCATGTCACGGCTGCCCCCACCTGCAGCAGCATCCCAGACAGCAGCTCCCCAGGTTGTAGCAGCTCTGCCGTCAGCCGGGTCCTGGCTAGCTCTGTGAGGATGTGATTCGCTGTGGCCACCGTCTCTGCAGGATCAGGATGGCAGTGCGGCCCACAAACCGCTCAAGCAAAACCCTTCCACAGCACCCCCCGGCTGCGCACATGCATGCAACGGCACCTCGCCTAGCTGCTCCCGACACCCACCGCACCTGGACTCTGTATGCAGGCGACGATGTGCGGCGGCTTGCCAGAAGTGCTTGCCGTGTTACAGATGTCCTGGACCATCAGCAGCGATGTCAGCAAGCGCGCATCCGCGCTCTTGAAATCCTCAGCCTGGGCGGGAACACAGAGATACGTGGTAAAACAGCTCAGCTGCTTGCCGTCACTGTTGTCGGCCACCCACAGCCCACCCCGCCCCATTGCACCTGAACAGATCCAAGGATGACAGCGTGCGCAGTGGCCACGCCCGCCTTGAGGTATGCCTCGCGATCCAGCAACCCGCCCGCTATCCAGTGTAGGCTGCGCCCCTCCACCTCCAAGGATGTGCTCTCAGCGAATTCCGGGGGACGCTCGCTGCTGATGATCGTCACCTCGCTCCCAGCCACTGCAAAGTCGCACAACCCCGACTGCAGGGTGCAGGAGCACTCAAGAACATTCAGGTAGCAGGCCTTGTGGAGATGCAGCATCAGAGGGGTGGCCGTCCCCTACATGCATGCCCACATACAACCCCGTGTATGCCTGCGCACCGAGAGATCGTCCAGAGGTCCGCTCCACCCCACAACTACTATGCTTTTCGGCGCCGACACAGGCAGCACTGCCGCCTCCAGCTGCTGCTGCAGCGCCACCAGGTCCAGCCGCGCAGCGGTGCTGCCATGCGGGGCCATCTCCGGCTGATTGCTGTGCGACAGCACAATCAGCTTGTCAGCACGGCTCAGGATCTGGCTGTCAGGTGGGTTCAGATAGGTCCGGCGATCCGCATGTGAGATGAAGCCGCACACCACTGCGTTCAAGAGCTTTCGCCTGGCGTCCTGCACCAAACACACAAGCGCAGCATGGGCCGGGCAGCGCTCAGACATCCAGCTCAATGCCATGGATCCGTCCTGGCAGGCCATGCGAGGAGTCCAGACATGCCTGGTAGCTGATGCTCGCTGCCTCGTTGGCACCCTCCATGATGCGCCAGGTACCCATATCAACAATGTGGAAGTCGGGGGCTCCAGGCGCCGACTGAGCTATCTGGCCCAGAATGGAGCTGACACCGGGCTGCACCGCCGACTGGGCGATGAGGCGCGCCATGTTACGGTTTCCTGCAGTCAAGGCGCAGTAATTTGACACCAGCTCCTTAGGCCTGGTCGGGTTGCATCAAGCTTTAGCCCTGCAGCCCATGCAGCAGGCCTCAAACCTACCGTTAACTTCCACCAGCTTCATATTTGCTGCAGGGGGCAGCGATCGCTGCACCACGCCAGCAATGGTGCGGGTCGCCTGCTGCGCCTCGCTGCTCCTGTCTAGCGGGGGCACATCCGGGTTCTGCAGTACCACCCGCTGCCGCCGCAGAGTGGTGGAGGGGTGGCTGCGGCACGACTGCAGGCCCAAAAGCGTGGCAGTCTTGTGCACTTCTGCGGCCTGCATTTCCAGCGCAGAACAGGTAGGGATCACCAGTGAGGCATCTAATTGCTGCAAAAGGCAAGAAGCGGCAGCAGCTCACAGGCTGTCACAAAGTGGGCAGGCTGATCCACGCTCGATCTGCCCACCTCATCCTTGTCAGGATGCAGAAGGATGACTGTTTTGGCGTGAGCAGCAGACACCGTCTCCAGGTCCTGCACACATACACCAAACAGCTGTGTACCAGAAAGGCCTGGAGCAGGTGTGCCTGCAGCGCACTCAGCTATTGATCACAACCCTTTCATGGCCACCACCAGCTCACTTTTGCAGAGTAAGGAGCGCCGCTCCTCGTCTTGAAGTGTAGGCCGCTGCCTTGCAGCGTGCGTGCGACATCTGCATCCAGCGCATCCCTGTCACGGTCGGCCAGCACAACAATATCCCTGCACCAACCACGAGACAAACACATCCCACTGTTAGTTGTCATCCACTCGAGCCGTACACATGTTGTTTTCCCTGCTGGAACAAAGGCAGGCAACGCAGCGCTGCTCGACCAGTCGGCAGCGCTGTGCTCACCTGCCCAGCACCCTGCTGTCCCCATGCCCGTTGGTGGCCATCTGGCGCAGCAGCAGAGGCGCCTGTCGGTTCCATCCGAGCACCAGAGTGTGATCGGCTATGGCCAACGGAGTGTTGCCACGGCGCACAGCCCCCAGCTGCAGTCAAACCCAAGACAAAACGCATTGGAGGTGTTGCAGATGAGGCTTGGGGCATTCGGTATGGCAGCATGACAACACCCTGGATCCCGCATGTAACTCGGCATGCGTGCTCACCCTGGCTTTGATCTCTTCGCTGACCAGACCAATGAGCACTGCGAAAGTGAACATGCCCGTGATGAAAGCCGAGTTGATGAGAATTGCCGCAGGCAGGCTGGTCTCCTCCGTCACCCGCGCCCCGGGCGCCCTCAACACAACAGTGTACTGCAAATGGGGGACACAGCCATGCAGGTCCCACAGAGTGAGCAAACAGTGCGCAGGGAATGGGAATGGCAGTATATCTGGCAAGCGAGCACCGACATCCATGCCACCGAGATGCAACCGCTGAGCAACTCACCACTTTGAAGACGCCCAGGCTGATGGGCGCGCCGGTGATGGCGGCATAGAGGCAGCCCCAGGCCCAGATCACGGGTGCACCAAGGAGGATGAGCGCCACAATCTTGACGAAGATGTGCGCCGACAAAAGCTGCTGCAGCACGCCAGCCAGCTTGAAGCCTGCCACGTCAAACGCGCGCTCGGAGCGGAAGGCCGGCGAGGCGCTGCCGATGCCGACGGATGCAAAGCCAAGGTGCTGCCGCTGGCGTGGGGCCCTGTGTACTGCTGCTGATGCTGCTGCGACTGCGCCACCTGCGAGCGGCTGCACTGGTGGACACGCCGCTGCACTTGCCGGCGACACGGCGGCCAGCAGCGCACCTGCCGCCAACGCTCCTGTCACTGCAAAGCGGGCGGCAAGAGGGTGCCAGCCACGCTGCTGCCGCTGTTGCTGCTGCTGGTCAGGGCCACATTCCCGGTCATGAGCTTGCTGCCGGTTGTATGCTGCTTCTGCTGCTGCCAGCTGGACTTGTTCCCGCTGCCGCCGCCGCAGTCGCTGCACTGGCACCCCGGCGCTTCCCAGGGCGCGCCACCCGATCACAAACGGCAGGACGCCTCGCTCCAGGCGGGCGGGCTGCATTGGGGCTCTGAACGCGGCTTGGCGACGGTGCCAGTTTACTGCACGCGGCGCACAAGCGTGTTCAGGGGCTCGAGCGCTCGAATCATGCTTGCAAACAAGCTGTGTGGGCCAAGAGAGAGAGCAGGTCAGCGCGGTGCAGCGTGCGGCGCTGTGCTGCGCGAATGAAAGCACCAGACACCGCATCCTCCCGCAATCTGCTCGTTGCTGCACCCCCCAGGACCCTCACCACACGTTCGCACCACGTGCGGGCCGTGTCCGTTGCTGCTGGGCGGCAGCAACACCCACCAGCCAGCGCCAGAAACGCGCAGCTGCGGCCCTCCAGGCGGAACGGAGACATGCAACAGGGGCTGCGGCCCTACGTGCAGGATGAGAACGCCATGGCGCTGCACCACCCGCCGACGCTGCACCTGAAGGGAGGCGGTGGTGGCGGTGCCGGCGGCGCCAACGAAATCGGCGGCGCCTTGAAAAAGGGTACCCCCGGCTTCCCTACCGTGCGCAAGGCACTGGTCAACATCACTAACAGCAAGGCAGGCTTTGGCTCCGGGAATTCGGACGGTGGTGCGCCCGGAAAGACGCCAGCGGGTGTGCGGCGGGCGCTGGGCGACATCACCAACAGCAACATGGCGGCACCCAGCGCACAAAAGGCGGCCCAGAAGGCGCTGCCACTGGCCGTCAGGCCGGTGCCGACCCTTCAGCAGCAGCAGCCCTCCGCCATGGCAGCAGTGGCTGCACTTCCCACCAGCCGGGCCGATGTGCTAGCCGAGGGTGGTGTGGAGCGGCTTGCAGGGCACAGCTGGGAACAGCTGGAGGCAGGCAGGGTGGCACGGGAGGAGGCGGAGATTCAGCGCCGCCTGGTGTCGCTGGCCAACTTCCCGCCGCGCGCGCTGCCCACCTTCTTCCCCTTCTGGGTAAGCCGGGGCTGGGCTGGTGGCCAATCGCACAAAGCGTATGTTTCTTGCAGATGGCTGTCTGCTACTTGTCCTGCCTGCCTTAAGCTACGTGGCTTGCAGAATTCACTGAGGTGCGGCATATGCCTGCTGGGATGGCTTGCAGGGTGCGCCTGCCGACCGGTCCCAGCAGATGCTTGAGAAAGACGTGCTGCCCACCCCGCCTGCATCCCCCGTGGCCAAGCGGCCCCTGGCAGCAGGTGGGCGGAGGGAGCAGCTCAACACCGAGCTTCACACCACAGGCCAATATCAGATGGTCTTTAGCGCGCGTGTCACATAGCACCACGTCTTGCCAGCTGGAAAGCTTCGGCCTGACGGCATCTCGCTGACTGCCCCTGGGTGCAGGCTCCGCCCTCAACCTGAGCGTGCCAGACCTGGGAGACCTCAGCCTGCCTGACATTGCGCTGCCCGACATTGATGACAGCATGGAGCTGGCAGGGCTGGACGACTCCTGACTTCTGATGACCCATCCCGCAGCCGGCCTCTGTACCCTGCTGAAGCCCTTTGTCCCAAGCGGCGGCGGCCAGGTTTTTGAGATGTCCCCTTGTATTCCCGACTTACGCTGCCTCTTCCTCGCTCCACCTGTTAGGCTAGCTTGCTACGTCCCACCTTTCCAGTCAGATTAACAGTAGTGCAGGCTTCTCTCCTGACACCTTTATTGTCAACAGTAGCAGCTGCGATCACAGCATGACAGCTGGCTGTAACAAGCCCACCCAAAGCAGGAGGCAATCAGGTTGAAAACAAAGCCAACCCTCATCGCTCCACGCCACTCTCCTGATATCCTGCAGCCAGGTCAGCCACCCCCTGGGGCACAGCATAGCTGCCAGCTAGCGCGCGCTGCTCAAACAGCCGCGACAGCACCACACTGACTGCATGGCTCAAAGACATGGACTCTGCAACAGTGGGTGAGGTGAGTGATGGAGAGTATGCGTTAATCGGCTAAGGCAATATCTTGCTGCTGTGGCTGGCAGTGAGATGGGCTGTGCGTCTCTGAGTGCAGCCACAGCAAAAAAGTCAGCATGCTCCTCACCCTGCAGCCTGCCGATTGGGATGGAGAGTGTGGCATCACACATGTCCACCTCGGCCGCCGTCAGCCCGCTGACCTCCCTACCAAACACCAGCGCCAGCTTCCTCTGGCCCGGCTGTCGTTGCTGCGGCAGTTGCTGCTGTTGCTGCTGCGCAAGTGCACCTATGCTGCCCCCCGCGTTGCCATCATGTTTTGTCGCTGCTGCTGGTTCTAGGTGAGAGGGTGACAGGAGTGCTACAATCTGCGGGGCTGCCAGCAGCTCTGCCATGCTGCGGTAGGCACTTGGGCGGCCTGCAAGGCGGGGACATGGCGGCGGCAATGCCAGTCGCATCGAAGCAGCTGAAGATGCAGATCCAGAAGCCGACATGCATGCCGCCTTGGACGACATGCATGCCGCAGCAGCAGGGTCGGCACAGCGCCTTGCCTTACCTGCCACCCAGCGCGTGCAGGCCACCGAGAAGGAGACGCCCGCTAGCGCCGACTCCAGTGTGCCGTGCCGCTGCGCCTGCCAGAGCAGGAACTGAGCGCCCTTGCTCCCGTTGCGACTGCTCCGAGCTAGTTGGTCGCAGCATGGCTCCACGATGCGCAAGTCTAGGCATTCAAAGCATGAGAGCGAGCGAGCCACGGTGCCGACTGAGATGGGGCGCTTAGGGCTGACCAGCACCACGCAGACGTCGTGCAGCAAAGGCGGTGGGTCAAGCTGCACAGGCTCCCAAAATTGGTGCTTCCTCCGGCCTTGCAGGCTCCTGCGCAACGTGTAAAGACCCCTCTGGTTGGTTCAATCTGACGCAGTCTCTCTGGCAGCAAAGCAGGCGCCCGCAGCGGCGGTGCGGGCGGTGGCGGCCCCCTCACCTGACGCCGCTCTGCCACTGCTGCTTTTCCAGCACCACCTCGCAAGTGCTGCCATTGGAAAGGCAAATGTGCCTCGCAGGGCCCTTCCTCTGCTGCCTCAAATGGCGAGTGGCGCGAGGGCAGCCCTCCAGCGGCACTGATGTCGCTTTCAAGGTATTCCGCATTTTCGATCATGCATGCTTGGGCAAGCCTGCCGAAATTTGCGCTGTGAAAGCAGGACAGGGGTAGTACCTGATCTTGATGCTCAGCCTGATGAGCCCGTCAAGCAAACGACATTGCCGCAATTTGCCTGCCAGGAAGTGACACAGGCGATGCAAACAGCGTGACCGCTTGGGCGCACTCAGACATGCGGGCTCTCAGCACCAGCAGGGGGCTGCCCTCTGTGAGCAGCTGCTGTGCGCCTCGTGCAATCACAGATGCGCGACTCCCAGCAGGTGGGGATGCAGGCCAGGGAGGTGGCAGTGGTAGGGTGGGCGCCGCCGCTCCCGCCGCGCCGCGGGCCGATAGAGTGCAGACAGCAGACACCGCTGCGTTTACGCCACGCCTGCCTGCAGCGCGGCGCCACCGGCTTGCGGTGCGTGCCCAGGAGGGCAGCCCGCAGCCGCCGCCTCAGCAAGACCTGGACGGCGAGCGGCGGCTGGAGGCGCTGGAGGCGGGGGCCAAGGCACGCAAGGGCGTCAAGGCGGAGCAGGCGGAGGCGATGCGGCCGTCCAGGCCGGCGCGGGCGTCCTCCTCTGCCAGCGGGGGCGTGGCGGAGTGGAAGGAGGGCCAGCTGTTCCCGGAGGGTGAGCCCGCGCCGTGCGCCGCCTCCCGCGTGCCAGGGCCCCGTGCCCGGCTACACCCAGCCGCATGCCTGCCCTTGCATCGATGCATCCCCTGCATGCGCGGCATGCGCGTATACCGCTGCAGGCTGGGAGGAGATGGACCCGATGCAGAAGGCGTATGAGCTGTATGTGGGCAAGCGCGGCTTCCTGTTCTGGGCCAACAAGGCGGCCCTGTGGTCTGTGGGCGGCCTGGTGGTGGGCTGGGCCATCTTCCGCTTTGTGGGCCCCGCGCTGGGCCTCTACCAGCTGCAGAACGACCTGTCCACACCCAACTACTTGTGATCCCTCGCCATCAGCCAGCCCGCTTGTCCACTCCCTTACCGCTCCTGTAACGATCGACGTGTGCCGGTGCGCATTTGGTGTGTGTACATGAGGGGGCCACCAAAGTGTGTGCCCGCCGTGGATTCATTGCAGCATTCATTTGGAAAGTGCACCCAGCATTGCCGTTGGGCATGTTGACTCTAACCCCGGAGGGTGGGGTGAGGCATGAGCAGAGCGAGCGCAAGGAAAGGGGGAAAGGACAGGAGGGGAAGGGAAGACGTATGAGGAAGGACAAGAGAGAGGTGGCTCCTCTAGGCACCAAATGATGCACCATGCCCTGCCGGGAGCTTGGCAGCAAGGGCAGATTGGTTGCTGGCCGACCAGCTGGTTGGAAGTCCCGCCATCCCCATGCAGCGATGTGTTTTGCTTGATCTAGTGATTCATTGACCCGTGCACGTCGTCCGCCAATGCTGGTGTCGGTGCCCGCTGTGCTCCGCTGCATTGCCGCTGCACCCTGCGCTTGACGATCTGCAAGCCTGCCCCAGATCAGCACGTGCCACCTGTGTGCGCTGCCGCTCCCTCGGCCTCAGCCGCGCTGGCCCACGCGGTAGGGCGCAAACAGCAGGTCCAGCGGGTCGTCGGCGTCCCGCAGCAGCGTGGCGGCCCGCGTGAACTCCTTGTGCAGCACAGCCCGCGTCTGGCGGTCCACGGTGCGCCCCAGGTCGTGGCTCAGCTCAAACGGGTCCTCAATGCACACCTGCGCAGAGGGGGCGGGTGCGAGCGGGCAGGCCAGGGCAGGGCAGGCGGGGTGGAGGGTGGGTGCGTGCCAGGCAGCAGGCAGGCCAGCACCGACATCGGAGGGCAGGCAGCGGCAGGCGGGTGGGCACGCTGCAGGCCCTCCACTCGCCAGGTGGCGCTCGTTGCCGATGCGCCGCGTCCAATCCTTGTCGTCCTTGTGCAGGCAGGCGCCCAGGCGCACCGACACGACGTCGTGCGAGTAGTTGTGCCGCCAGGCCCAGTACTCGAAGAAGGCCCACACCAGCTGCGCCAGGCTCTCGCAGTTGACGGCGCCAAAGCCGCGCAGCGCCTCGATCTGCGGTGGCGGCAGGCGGGGGCGAGGTTGGGGGGCGGGCGTGCGGGGCTCGGCAGGTGCAAAACCAGGAGGATCCAGGTGCTGCTGGAGCCACCCCGTTCCCAAGCAGCGGGCCCCAGCCTGCTGCGGCACCCCTCCCAGCCGGCCAGCCAGCCAGCCAGCGCGCCGGCGCCCCCGACAAGGCAGCAGCCAGCGGCGCACGTTGTCGCAGAACTCGCAGGTCCACTGGCCCACGGCGCGGCGGAAGGTGGGCTGCAGCTGCTGCAGCGCGGGCAGCACCGGCGTGGGCCGCGTCTGCAGCAGGTGGATGCACATCAGGACGTAGCAGTAGGAGGACAGCGTGCCTGCAGGGAGTTGGGGGCGAGGGGGGGCGGCAGCAAGTCGCGGAACCGGTCAGGGGGTGCCTCAGCTCAGCCGAGGTGCTGCTAAGCACCGTGACGGCCACCAGGCACCAGCACCGCCGGCTGTGTTGGCTACAAACATGAGCAACCAAAGACCGCTAGTAGCCCCCCCCCAACCCAAGCACCTCGGTAGGGGTCGTTGACGGCACGCTGCTTGGCCCAGTGCTTGACCAGGGCCACCAGCGCCGCCAGGCGGGCGTCGATGGCGCAGTAGTCGGCCACCAGCTTGGTGTTGATGCAGGCCAGCAGGTTGTTCACGGTCACATCCACCTGGGCGGGCGCGGGGCAGGGCGGGGAGGGGCGGGAGGGGAGTGGCTGGAGGGCAGAGGGCAGGGCGGGGAGGGAGCTGGAGGGGCACAGGGGGCGCGCAGCACCACCGCGGCTGAGCCTCAGGCAGGCAGGCGTGCGCCGTGCCCCACCTTTGTTCCCGTGCGCGGCACCACAAACTTGACTACCGGCACGCGCGCCTTGGGCAGCGGCAGCACCTCAGCCATGCCCGCCGCCTCCATGAGCTCCCCCACCACACCCGCCACCTCCGCCTTGCCTGCCTGCAGCGACAGCACCAGGCGGCGCAGGAGGCGGGCGGTGGGCAGTGGGAGGGGCTGCCCATCGAGCGAGGCACACTCTGGGGGGGCCAGCAGCTGGGCACCGCAGCAGGAGCACCGCAGCAGGAGCACCGCAGCAGCAGCTGGCAGCTGCCCCACTGGCAGCCCCACCTGGTCGTCCACCCCTTCCAGCTCCAGGCACACGTCGATGTCGTTGTTGTGCCGCACGCTGAGCCCGTTGGCCACGGAGCCAAACAGGTGCACCCCCGCCCCCGGGTACCGCGCCTGCAGCAGCGACTTGACCCACTCAAACGCCTCCATCTGCGCCGCGCGCTCCTCTGCAGCAGCACGGGGGCAGGGGTAGGGCGGCGTGAAGAAAGGCAGGCAGAGGCGGGGCGCAGAGGGCAGCGTTGGGGCCTGTGCCACACAGAGGGCAGCCACCCCTGAGTGGCAGGCAGATGGTAGCGGCCCGGCGCGTGGCGGCCAGGCACAGGCGGGCCGCCGCCGAGCGGGGGGTGGGGGAGGCGGGCGGGCACGCACCCGGCGTGGGCATCAGCGAGTCGGCCATCTGCCTCAGCGCCGCATCCAGCTCCTCCATGTTGGCCTTGGGCTGCCGCCCATTGTGGCTGCGGTCCATCACATCCACCCACCTGCAGCACGCGGCGGCAGGCGGCCAGCCATCAGCCACCCGTGGCAGGGGCGACCCACCAGGCACACCGGCCGCGACAGGCAGGGGCGACACGAGCAGCACGCAGCCAGCCAGCAGCGCGGTACATCCAGGCATCTCAGCTGCTGCCCGCACACCTGTTCTCGCGCCCAGAGCCCGGCTTGTTGGCCACATGCTGGGTGCCCGCCTTGCGACCCGATGCCGCCGGCCGGCCGCCGCCAGGCCCCTGCTGCTGCGATGCCTCCCCCGGCTGCTGCTCGCCATGAGACGGCAGCGGCGGGGGCGAAGGAGTGCCTGCTGAAGGCGCTGAGGATGGGTGGGCGGCGGCTGCACGCAGCAAGCTGTCAAACAGGCCGGGCTGGCCAGCCAGCCCCGGTGGCATCAGCTGCGCCTGCTGCGGCAGCTGGTGCAGCGGTGCTGCTTGCGAGCGTGGCGACAGCGGGGCCAGGGGCATGCCTGCAGGCGGCGCAAGCCTGCTGCCCAGGCCTAGCTGCTGCTGCTGCTGCTGCTGCTGCTGCTGCTGCTGCTGCTGCTGCAGGTGCTGCATGGCAGGCAGGCCTGCAAACAGCGCGCCGGGGCCCCAAGGTCCGGCCTGCATGCCAGGCGACGTCCCCGCCAGCGGCGCAGGCTGCTGCTGGTGCTGCTGCTGCTGGTGCTGCTGCTGCAGATGCGGCGGCATCGACCCCGGCTGCAGCAGGGCTGTCAGCGGATTGTACGGCATCACAGGCCGCTGCTGCGGCTGTTGCGGCACTGGTGGTGGCGCATACGGCGTGGGCTGTGGCTGCAGCAGGTGCTGCAGATGGGGTGGCAACTGCTGCTGCTGCTGCTGGCCGTGATCAAGCTGCTGGTGCATGTATGACGGAGACTGGTGCAGCGGCGGCTGCTGTGGAGGCAGCAGATGCTGCTGCTGGGCTGGCGGCATCCCCTGCTGACTGCGCAACGCCGGGTGCTGTGGCGGCGGCAGGTGCTGCTGCGGCGCAAACTGCAGTGGGGACTGGTAGGGTAGCTGCCGCTGGGCCTGTTGGTAGGCTGACGGCACGTGCTGCAGCTGCTGCTGTGCAGGCGGTGACTGCTGGTGCTGACCGGGCCAGCCCAAAGGCGGGGCGCCGCCCCAAAGACCGCCGCTAGGGAGCTGGCTGGCTCCTGCGCTGTCCACGCTGCTACTGCCCACTGGGATCGGCTGGCTAGACCAGATGCTGCCACCACCAGCGCCAAACAGCGAGCTGACTGCCTGCTCTGCCTGCGCGGGCAGCAGCCCGTCGGGCTGGGCCGGCAGCGGCGGGGGCGGCCCTGCTGGCGGCTGCGTCCCAGGCAGCCTGCTGCTGCCATAGGCGGGTGCTGCCTGCAGCGTGGGGCCCGGAGCTGGCTCGTACCCGTTCAGGTGCTGCCCGCCGTGGCCTTGCAGCAGCTTTAACAGGGCGTGACCCTGCTGATCGCCTTGTTGCGGATGTGTTCCCTTGGCGGGAGACAAGCTGAGGCCTGCTAGCGCCTGCTGCAGCATCTCCTGCTCCATATGGCTGGAGACAAGCTGTGTGGGCTGCACCAGAGCACCCCCTGGGCGCCTCGTGCCCTGGAGTGAGTGTCCATGGTGTGGAGAGCGTTTTGAAGGTTGGTGGAGGACAGCGCAAAACACGTCAGCCGCGCGCACCCTTGCAGCGGCGCAGCCCCCCGCCAGCCCTGTTGTCTTGGGATATATGCCTGTGTGTGCGGCCATGGGCGCTGCAGAAGCACGCTGAGGCGAGGTTGGCCACCAGAACATCGCCCGTGGGCCGCAAGAACGCCCGCCCTGATCTATGTGGGGCTTCTACGCCTCCGCCATGGCTGCTTGCAGCCTAACAGTGATTTTCCTGTAAGCGCGGGGGAGTGCGGTAACTGCCTGGCCTGCGGCTGTTCTGGCCAGCCCCGTGTCCTGCGTGACTGGCTGCGTGCTGCAGACCGCCGCCCCTGACCTGCGCCTGCGCACCCACAGGCTGCGCAAGCTGGCGGCGCCCAAGGTGACGCCAGTCGTGTTGGCCGTCACGTTTGTTGGCTGGCTGACCTCGCTGTCGGTGGTGGCGCTGGTGCCCATTGACGTCTACTCGGCGCTGGGGCACAAGGACCCCGGCTCGCTGGACATACTGTGGAGCATCTCCTACTGGTGCGCCGCTGGCAGGCGCAGGCGTCGGCTGTTTTGGCCGCCAAGCATCGTGCCGACCTTCTCGGATGCAGTTGGCAGCCTCTGTCCGCCTGCAGCCTGCAGCAGGAGGCGAGTTGTCCGGCCTTCTGCCTCCCTCTTGTAAATGCAGGTCGACGCAGGTGCTGACATGGGCGGTGATCCCCGTGCTGCAAGGCTACGCCATCTCGGGCGCCTTCACCATCCTGGGCCGCGTCTGGCACTCGCTCAAGCGCCTGTGGGTGTTCTACCTCATCATCGGCGCCCTAGCCGCCGCCGGCATCGTGGCCGCGCTGGCGGCGGGCAAGCTCAAGCTGGCCACGCTGCCTGCCCTGGTCTTCACCTTGTCCAACACATACGGTGCGCTCAGCTCCGGCCGAGCAGGCTGGTGCTGTCCGATGCGTGCTGTATGTTTTGGCGGCTGCCCAGATTCATGCGTGGCTAACCTGCCCCCCGACCCCCACACCTGCACCCCCACCGCCCCCACCCCACCCCACCTCCATCCACCCACAGGTCTGGTTGTGCTGGTGGCGCTGCTGGGGTACGGCATGGTGGAGATCCCGCGCATCTTCTGGCGCCGCTCCTTCCCCGAGGCGCGCCTCAAGTGGCACTACCACCGCGTGGGGCGCGCCGCGGACAAGCTGACCGACGCCAGCGACGAGCTGGAGCGCGTGCTGGCCATCGTGCTGGCCACCAGCCAGCAGATCCCGCGCGGCGACACGCAGCTGCGCCACTACATGGACCTCATCATCCAGTGGGGCCCTTCCCCCTGAGCGCTGCGCGCATGGGGCACCTCCTGCCCTGCACCCCCTGCTGACAGCCGCCCGGTTGCTCATGGTGCTTCCCATGGCTGCCCCATGTGGGCTCCAATCGTGCGCGCGCACGCGCGTGCACACCTACCCACAAACCACTGCCCCCCACCCCACCCCACCCCACCCCAGGTACGCCGACGACTACTCCCCCGTGCGCCTGGCTGCGCTGGCCCGCTCCAAGGTCAGCATCGAGCGGCTGGAGGAGAGCGACCTGGACTACGCCACCAGCGCCGCCAGCCTGGCCAGCCTGAGGGGGCGCCTCAAGGCCGCCATCGCCAACTTCCAGGGCTGCTCGGGGGAGTATGTGGACTTTGTGAAGAAGGTGGGCAGGGCTGGGGAGGGGGCGGGGTGCAGAATAGGGTTGATGAACAGGGAGTGATTCCGAAGGAGCATCAACCAACGGCATGACCCGGTGTCGGGACCGGAAAGCGGAAGGATCAACTTTCCAGCCCCCCCACCCCCCGCAGGCCATTGACCTGGAGGCGGTGTGCAAGTCGCGGCAGCACGGCGTGTGCGTGCCCCCCAGCGGCAAGAAGGGGCGGTGGGCGGAGGCCAAGTGGACGTACAAGTGCCGCGTGCGGCCCTGGGTGCTGCGGGGCATGGCGCTGGGGGCGGGCGCCGCGTCGGCGGTGGTGGTGTGGAGCGAGGCCACCATCGGCACGGGGCGCTCCCCCGACCTCTCCCCCTTCTCCATCATGCTACACAGCGGGGCGCGGCGCAGCGAGTTTGGGGAGCAGGTGCTGGTGGCGCTGCCGCTGGGCTACATGTGCGCCTGCGCCTACTTCTCCCTCCTCAAGCTGGGCAACTTCTCCTTCTACCACGTGGTGGGTGCAGCAGCTGCTGGTCGTGAGCGGCCAGAGCATGGTCTGCTCTGGCCATGCCGCACAACCAGGACGGGAGGAGGAAGCGCCCCCGACATGCATGGCATGCTGCCGGCCCTCCCGCGCGCACGTGCAGGTGACCAAGGGCACCTGGGCCTACTCGCTGCTGCTGTGCAGCTCCCAGATGGCCCGTTTCGCCGCCCCGCTGTGCTTCAACTTCCTGCACGTCATCCGCATGAACGACGTCAACAGCGGCGAGCAGGTGCGGCGCGGCGCGCGGCGCCCTCTGGGAGGCGGGCGGGCCCCCCCGCTGGCGCAGCTTGTTCTGTCCTTTCGTCTTGCCTTGGGTCCCGCTGCGCCAGCACCACCCTCACTCCCTGCTCCTGCCCCGCTGCCTGCCTGCGCCCCTGCCTGCCTGCGCAGAGCATGGTGTTCTTCCAGAAGATGGGCGCCATGAGCTCCGACGTGCCCATCCTGGGCCAGGACTTCAACACCTGGTTCCCGCTCACCATGCTCATCTACGTCGCCCTGCTGGTGCTCAACTGGTGGGAGCGCTGCTGCTCCCGCATCTTCATCGCCAACCGCTTCCGCTTCGAGGCGGTGAGTGCAGGCATGGCGAGGCATCGCTTGGCGAGGGCAGCACGGCCGTGCTGCCTGGGGGCGGTGCTGCCCGGCTGGGCCAAGGTTGGCTGCCGCAAGGTGGGGCTGCCAGGGCCCGGCTGGCAGGGCCCTGCTCACGCCTGCGCTGCCCGCATGGTGTGCCTGCAGGAGCGGGCGGACGACGAGCACACGCAGCGCGGCATGCGGCTGGTGCAGGCGGAGGAGGATGCCATCAGCAAGGGCTGGCCGCTGGGCGACGGCATCGGCCTGTTTGGCCTGGGCAGCAGCAGCAGCGGGCTGCCTGGGGGCGGCCGCAGCAGCAAGCAGCAGGGGCAGGAGCAGAGCGTGGAGCTGAATGCGAGCGCTGGGCAGGCAAAGGGTGTGGCGGGCGCAGGTAGCAGCAGCGGGGCGTCGTCGCCGCCGCTGCCGGTATCCACTTCGCGCCAGCCGCTGTTTGGCGGCGCCAGCAGCAGCAGCAGCGGGCCGGGGGGTGACGGCGGCGGGCGCAATGGCAGCCCTCCCAGCAAGGCGGAAGCTATGAGGCAAAAGTACGCCAACCGTGGCAGCGGTTCCACCTCGGCGGCGGCGCCACCACCGAGGGATCAGCAGCAGCGGCAGCAGGACGAGGATGGCGCGGTGGACGCCCTGTTTGAGGTGGTGGAGTCGAGGCCTGGCAGGGTGGGCACGTCACGCCTGCTGGACCAGTCTGCGCCTTCCTCTTACAGCTTTAGCTGGAAGCCGCGAGGGCGCTAGCAGGCGCTCCACTGCCCTGCCAGCAAGCAGGGACATTTTTTCTACGTGCGCAAGTGAGCACTGTACATTCATCTGAATTTGTGTGAAAGCAAAGTGTAACTGGAAGATCATAGGCGCTACAGGATGCACATGGCTTATGAAAACTTGCAGCAGCGATACGAGAGTTTGGCAAAGATGCGGGGAAGCATACAGACATGCGTTTGAAAGGCTGCGGGGCACCCTACGGCCTGCCACGGCGTCGGAGCAAGCCGCTTCTTCCTGCTGCCGCCCCCGCATCGCTGCCCATGGCGCTGTCTGCGGGCCCCGCCTTGCGGCGCGGGGCGCCAGCCACTGTTGCGCTGGTGCCGGCTGCGGATGGCGGCCCCAGGGCTGCCTGTGCCCCTGCTGCCGCCGATGTGGGCATGCCCGGGTGCTGGCGCGGCGAGGGCGGCTCCCCATGGTCCTCCAGCTCCCTCAGCATGCTGCTGCTGGCCTCGCTGACATCGCTGGCGCTGCTGACCTCCACATCCGCCGACATGTTGCTGCTCAGCTCATCCCGCACTGCGGCCGCCTCCCCGCCGCCACCAAACCCGGCATACACCAGCAGGCCCAGGAAGACGAGCGCCGCGGCGCCGCCGCCCAGGAAGGCAGCCAGCGCCGAGCCCCCCAGCAGCAGCAGGGCCAGGGGGCTGGGGCGCAGGGTGTAGAGCAGGCGGCGGATGAGGCCCAGGCGCAGCTGTACCTTGAGCGTGGCCGACACCACCTCTGCCGCCCAGGCTGGGTTGCGGGTCTGCATGCCAAGGGGACGCACCAGCCATGCTCACACACCACCACATGTCAGCACAGACACGGGCAGCAGCACACCAAAAGTCACACACATGCCCAAAGCCACATCCGCTGCCACCCCCGCACCTTGATGGCCAGGCGCGCCACCATGAAGGGCACCTCCCGCTTCTCACGGTAGTTGGTGAACAGCGGCAGGCGCACCATGCGCACGTCGCCGCCCAGTCCCACCCAGCGCAGCGGCGCCAGCGCCAGCGACCTGCGGCAGGCAGGCGCACAGCCATCAAACCACGACGAGGCAGCGCCAGGAGGCCTGCATGCACAACGCTGCCGACCTGCAAAGCCATCTGGTCAAGGCGCGCCACAGCGGCGCCTCACCTCAGCCTCCACGAGCTGGACTGCAGCATGAGCGCACGGCTGGCCTTGGCGGCTGGGCGGCCGTCCAAGCTAGTCAGCTGGGCCACCACCTGCGCCACGCCCTGCCCCGTGTCCTGCGGCACCTCCAGCTCCACCCACACATCCACGCCCTGCTGGGGCGCCAGGAACCTGCGGGGGATGGCACGCAGGGTGGCGCCGCCGTCACAAGAGGGGCACGGCTGCGAGCAGCAGCTGCACACGCGCATGCATCCGGCAGTGGAGGGACTGCCAAGGCATTCCAGGGTCAAGAGCGCATGCATGTGAGCGATGCGTTGGCTTGCCTGGCGTCGCGCTGTGGGTCGGCAGGCGGCAGCCCATCCACCTGCACCTGCGGCAAAAACACCGCCTCGGCCACCAGGTCTGCCGCCGCAAAGTCCATGTCCAGGCGGCGGGAGAAGGTGTCGCTGGCGGGCGTGAAGCTGAGGGTGACTGCCAGGAAGAGCAGCAGGGCGAGGCCGGCGGCGGCCACGGCGCAGCTGGCTGCCGACCCCGCCGCCAGCGTCAGGCCCCGGAAGAAGGCCAGCCACTGCTGAATCGCTGGCCACACTGATCCCAGCAGATGCGTCGAGGTGGAGGAGGAGGGTGGGGCCACGGTGCCGTCCTGCAGGCAGCACGGGGAACAGAGGCCGGTGGGCGACGACAGTGCCGGCAGAGGGGCGTCAACCAAAAGTGGCAGCGCGGCCAGAATGAGTGCGGCGGCCCCTGCTGCGTCTGAGGCCTCGCCTGGAGCGTCGTGGTCCCCAGGTCGGACGCTATGTCGTCCCAATGGGGGGCATGGTTGGCTCCCAGAGATGGCTCCACGCTACTCATGGCGGGCCCAGCGAGCACGCGTGCGGCGCAGGATGGGGTCCGCAGGATGCTGCCGCACGCAATGAAGCACCTTGGACAACGGGTGAGCGTTCAGAGTTGATTTGCGTGATCAGTGGGCTTTGAGCCCCGTTTAGGTGTCAGCCAAGCCTCTGGGCCAGGTATGGGCAGCAGGTTGAGTGACAGCAGGTTGAGTTGCAGGGGGGAGAGGTCAGTGGGGCTTTGTACAGCAAACCAGAGGCTGGCGGTGCAGCGGTGCAGCGCGCAGATTTCCCCTCCTTGACTTCTTCATCTTCTGCTCACGGAGGTCATTACCTCAGCATGCACTTGTAGCGCTAAACTAGTGGCGGTTGATTGAAGATTGCCATGCTGCCTGCAACTGTCGGCAAGGCGACCGCCCGGCGCGCCACCCACTGCAAGTAAGCTTCTGGCTAGGATCAAGACCGAAACACCGACCAAGACCGAAACACCACTGGCAGATCTAATTTAACATAGCAACAGTAAGAACACCGCTGAGGATGCCTGCTTGGCGTACACGTGACGCACACGTGACGCACGGCGGGGCGGGGGCGGGGGCGGCCAGCAGGCCACGATCGCACCCCAGCGTAATTGCCTGAGTGCAATTCTGAGTGCAATTCCAACAGATGCAATCGGCAATCCCGCCATAGCGGCCGGGCTACATGGTCGCCTGGCGTATCCCGCCAAGGTGCGGGCAGCAGATGAAATTGCTGTGCCTCCACCGCTTCTCCCCTTCTCCACTTACCATGGGCCTTTCTGACGCCCTGCCGTTTTCCCTGCTGCTCTTCCTGCTGCTCCCGCCACACTCCAGCGCAGACTCTACTCACTCAGGCGTGCTCACGCACGATGAGTTTAGCCTGCAAGCCGAACCGGGCGACTAGGGCGGCACCGCAGCACTGGCGCCCAACTCGGCGTTTGTCGGGGAGGTCTTGGTGACGAATGCCCGCAGCAGTCCGGAGGCCTGCTCCCTCGCCTGTAGGCGCACCCCACAGTGTTCCTGGTTCAACTGGGAGGGCTGCGAGCAGGTTGGTGTGGGGCCTGGGCTGTGTCTCCTGGCGGCACCGCGGCCGCCGCCAGAAGGCACTTACGGGCTGATTATAAGAGTCTTGTGTGTTTGCAGGGGGACTGTGCCAACCATCAGGGATGCCAGCTGCTGGGGGGCGAATGCACGCTATCACCTAGCATGAGCGAGCACGGGGCGGGGGTCAACACCACCGCAGGTGCAGGACACAGCAGGTGCCGCCCACCGTGTGCGGGGCCTGGATGGAAGACATGCCAGCGAGCGCGGCGCCCCTGCCCTCTGTTGCCGCAGGCTTCCCTGTCCGCGCGCCTAGGGATGTAGATGTGCCTGGTTTCACCACGGTGCTGGGCCGAGGCATCCTGAGCGGCGCCCTGGGCGCAGACTTTGAGTGCGAGGGCTCCCTTCTCCCCGGCAAATGTGCGCTTGCGCGCCCCATAGACGCCGCCCGCCTCTGCGCAGGGCTGCCCGACTGCCTCTCCGTTGTCGTTTGCTTGAACGGTAGGCCGGTTGAGCTGCCTGCTGGAGAGTGACCTGCGCTGCTTGCGCGTTGTTGAGCGGGCTGTGATGTCTCGCTGGTGGCACGGAGGACGCAGGCTGTATGCACTCTGCGCACCTCTGTGGACGATGACACCGGCAGCATGACGGCGACATTGCACCTGCAGGCACAGATGGCTGCTCCAAGCCTGTGTCTGTTCTGCAATCGATTTCCCTGAGCGACAACAACGACTTTCTAGCTCCCATCGTCTACACGCTTGTGCAGGATTCAAGCCAGCTTCAAGTAAGCAATGCCGCTGTGCTGTGCATGCTTCCATGCTTTCCTCCTGGCCCATGCAACAGCAAATGCTGCCCAGGAGCTGCTGCCTGCCAAACCTTGCGCCTGGCTGCAGCGATTTACCCTTCCTCCTGCCTGACCCTACAGACGTTCTACCTGCATCCTGGCGAGGCAGAGGTTGTGGCGCCCAGCGATGCTGAGCTGGCGGTCATTGATTCAGATGGTCTAGACACCGCAGAGCTGGCCAACAGCACCATCTGGCTGGGCTGCATCATTGCACCGGCCCTGATGGGCGGCCGGCGCGTACAGGTGCTGGATGGCTTGGAATCAGCAGAAGCATGCTGCCGAGAGTGCCGCATGGTCCTTGGAGAAGATGAGAGCGAGGGCGGCGGCTGCAACGCCTTCAATTTCTGCCCTCGTGTGGGTGGATGCAAGTGAGTTGGCGATGCCGTTGGGAGCTGATGGATGGATGGGGCACTATCGCCAGCATGCCTCTGACCTTCCACGTGCTGCCCTGTTTGCACAGGACCGCGCAGCTCTGTGTGTCATGCCGCTGCTTGGCATGACCCTCCTCTGCAGTTTCACGACAGCGATTGGCGAGATGGCAGCGTTGGGGCCGAACCAATGTGAGAACGCTGGTCATTATATTTTGCGGGGCTGCCGCGAGGCCCCACACGCCTTTTGAGCTGTACCCTCTGCTGTTGCCTGGTCGGCTGTTGTTCTTTGCTTGTTCTATGCATCTGCCAGCCAGGGACTCACGCTGAAGTGTTGCTGCCTGCCAGCCTGCTGGGGGAGCTTGCGGCCCTGATCCCCATCATCATCGGTGCCTGCATCGGTGCAGGCGAGCTGCTGTTCCAGGAGGAGGTGCAGCCCGTGGTGGGCTGGCCACCTAGGGTACTGGCCAAGGGGGCTGAGGTGCCGTTCCTGGGCGGCTCCCCGCTCTCCGCCACCTTCCCTGAGGTGCCTGGCCACACGCGGCTGCTGGGGCGCGGCATGTTTGCGCAGGCCGGCTTCTCGTGCCCAGGCTCGCTCAAGTGAGTTGGTGTGGTGCCGCAGCTGGCAGATTGGCACGATATTTGTTCGGCATGGCTGCGTACAGGAGCACAGGTGTGGCAGTGCGTCATGTGAACAGCTGTGCAACAAATTGACGGCAGTCCCTGTGTGCTGCTTGATCTGATGCAGGCCTGAGATACAAGAGTGCATTCTGTAAATGCCCCCGACAACCCGGGGCAGCCCTGCCAGGAGCATGAGCAATGCAGAGCTTTTGCCGCCAGGCCAGGTGGGGGCGCTGTTCTTTTTTTGGCCAGAACGAGCTGGCGGCGGGCTGTCATATATTGCCAGTCCAATGGCTGAACACCCTCTTGCTTGTCCCTTGCGTGTAGTGGGCATCTACAACGTACCGGGGCCTCTCGTCGTGCTGAAGTCTGCCCCCGCCAACGACTCCACTGTCACCTTCCTTCCCAGTGCTGCGCTGTATGTCAAGAACGAGCAGCAAGCCTCTGGCTCGGCGCTGTCAGGCGCAGCCATCGCCGCCATCGCTGTAGCCTCTGTTGTGGCAGCCGCCGCGGTGGTGGCAGCCGGCCTGCTGCTGCTACGCCAGGAGCGGCGGCGGCAGCGGCTTCATGGCAAGCTGGACGGGGCAGACGCCGCGGTCAAGCTTGGCTCGGAGGCGTCTGGCGTCTTGGCGTCTGGCGGCGACCATCAGGGCAGCCGAGACTTGGAAGGCGCAGGCAGCGCCGGAATAGTGTCGGCGGCGAGCCATGGCCAGGCTGCCACATCTGGCGCTTCCCAGGCGGCGGGGTCTGGAGGCGTGGTGGTGCTGCGGTCGGTGCAGGTGCCTCCATCTCGTGCCAGCACCTTTGCCGTGCCGCACCCCTGGCTGGCCCACCCGCCGTCCTTGCCGGGCACCTCAGCGCCTGCCACCCCCGCCATCCCGGGCCCCTGCCCCCCCATTCCCCTGTCGGATCTCGCCAAACAGCTGGAGGCGCTGTCCTTCTCCAGTGGCAGCGGCAGCGGCAGCAGCAGCAATTTCAGCAGGTGGGCGGTGGGCGTGGCGGATGCTGAGGTGGCGGGGCAGGGCCCCCACCTCATTCTGGCCGACCTGCCTCCCAACCTGCGGGAGTGGGTGATCGACCCGGCGGCCATCGAGTTCCTGCGCTCGCCTGACGGCAGGCTGCTTGAGCTGGGGGCTGGAGCCAGGTGCGACTGGCGTGCGCTCCCCGCCTGCCTGCTGGCATGCATCGAACAGAAGGCTTCAGCGAGCTGTATGGCTGCCTCCCCTCCTTCTGCCTGCCCATGCGCTGCTCCCTTGCTGCTGCCTTGCAGCGGCCGCGTGTACAAGGCGGTGTATCGAGGCGAGCCTGTCGCAGCAAAGGTAATGGAGATTGGCAGCAGTCCCAGCAGCCAGCGCGAGTTTGTGACGGAAGCAGTGGCGCTGGTCACGCTGCGGCACCCCAATGTTGTCGGGTTCTATGGAGTGGCGTTGCTGGCTGGCAAGGGCGTGCTTGTGATGGAGTACTGCGAAGGTGAGGCTATGGGGCTGCCGGCTTGTTCGACCCAAGCATAGTTTCAAGTAGCAGAGGGAGGCATGTGCTTTTCTCACTTCCTTCCTCCCCTGCCCGTCACCTGTCCCTGATTATGCTCCCTGTCTGGATGCTGTCCTGCTGCGCAGGCCGCGACCTGTCCAGCGCGCTGCAGCTGCGAGCCCCCGGCACCAACGACCGCATCTACGGCTGGTACCGGCGGGGCTGGCGCTGCGCATGGGATGCCTCCAAGGCATTGAACCACCTGCACTCAAAGGTGTGCATCTTGTGATTCCGGAAGGCTCAGGCTGGGCCAGCCGCCTCGCTGTGAGATGCAGTGACGCCGTTCACCCACCACCACAGGAAGATGCAGGGGCACGAAGATGCACGTGCGTGCGCCAAGGCTCACCCGGTACCGCGCTGCCGTCACATGCTGCTCCCCGCTACCTCTGTCTTCTGCAGCATGTCACTCACATGGATCTCAAGTCGGGCAACACGCTGCTGACATCCCGCGGCCCCGGCGGTACCGCCAAGCTGGCAGATGTGGCGCTGTCACGCATGCAGACCCGCACCTTCCTGTCGGATGTGCCGATGGTTGGCACCTTTGCCTGGTGGGTGGGTGGGCAGCAGTGCATGTTGGCCCACCTGCTGCTTGCAGCCATAGCCCTGCCTCCATCCCTATCCCGCAACGCCCGCACCCCGCCGATGCACCACTTGCAGGGTGGCTCCCGAGGTGCTGATGGACGGCCAGAACTGCACCGTGGCCATCGACATCTACTCATTCGGGGTCCTCCTGTGGGAAATCATCACAGGTGTGGCACGGGTGCATCAAACAATGCAGATATGCGCAAAAAGCATTGTGTGACAGCGCTCCTTGACAGGTGTTATAACTGCTGTGCGTGCTGCTGCGTTGTGCAGGCGACAGGCCGGTGAGGGGCCACATGCGGCAACCAAGGGTGCCCGAAGAGTGCCCTCAGGTCGGTAGCATCTCCCTACAGCTTGCTGCCTGGTGTACACTCTGCTGTAAGATGGCCTGCTGCCTGGCTGGCTTGACCTCATCTCTCCTCACCACCCAACGCTACGGCCTGCTCTGCACTGCAGGAAGCTGCCGACCTGATGCAAGCCTGCGTCCAGCTCAACCCTGCCGAGCGTCCCAACGCACAGCAGCTCATGCAGCGGCTTGAGAAGATGCAGCCGCCGTCAGCGCTGCGGGGTGGCAGCAGGTAGGCCATCGCCCCAGCGGCGGGGAGCCGGCCATGGTACGACCCATGCTAGCCGACGAATAAGCGCCGCAATGCCTGAGTCTGATTCCATCACGTCAGCAATGAACCAGAGAGCTCTTAGTTCACATGACCCGGCCCACAGTACCCACTACTTGCTTCGGCCCATCTGCTTGGTCTCGCTCACGCCTAGCCCATCATTTACCTTCCTCTTTCGCTTCTTCTTACCCGCTGTTTTCGGTAACACGCCCTCATGTATGCTGCTTTTCATTGGACGCTATTTGGACTGACATCGATTGCTTACCACAGTGCATCGAGTGCACCACTGCCAGACAGCACCCCAATGTGCCCCAGACTTTTCAAACAATTTTGATAGCTGCATTGTTTGTTCCTCATCATAGACATGTACACGTATTAACTTGCCTACCTCACAGAGCGTGTGGAAAGAGCAGCATTACAGCGAGTTCACGACAAGTGCACACGGAGATGAAGCTGTCAGGCACGGCGGCAATGACTGTGCGTAGACCTCAAATTTGGTGTGCAGTTGTGCAAGGCGATGCGTGTTGGTCAAGTGAGGATAGCAGGGCGCAGGTGATGCAGCCGAACCAAACAACTGCAGCCTGGCAAGCGAGCGCAGCATGTTAGCGAAGCAGAAAGGTCCGCCTGCCTGAGGCTTGAGATCAGAAGGTTAGCATATAGAACATGAATTGAGCAGTGAGATATAGCAAAACAAGGGCTCAAGTGAGGTCCAGGCTCCTCCCTACTTCAAGAAGTTGTACAGGTATAGGCCGATAGCTAGCAGGATGCAGATCAGCACAATGTCCACCACAAAGTTGCGGGTGGACCGCATCTGCACGCAGCAGACAAAGGCCAGTGAAACTTGGGACAAACCACGGCAACAGTTGCGGTGCACATGGCAGCACGACGGCAAACAGGCTGCTGGCTGACAAAGAGCACTGTGCGTCCTGTCGCCTGGCCCGCCCCGCGGCCCACCTTGGTGACCAGCCCCTTGAGGCGCATGTTGTTGGTTTGCAGCTCCTTGGTGACCTTGTCCATCTTCTCGTCCACCTCGTTGATGAGGATGTCGTGCCGCTGCAGCTCCTCATTCATGGCCTCACCAATCTCCTTGAGGTGCCCCAGCCCCGTCTCAATGTGCTCCAGCTGCTGGTCCTGCCGCTGCTTGGTCTCCTCCCACTCCTGCACACCAGCGCGGCGCAGCACACCTCAAACATCGGGTCGGCCGCACACCGCACACGCCAGCCACCATAACTGCTGCTTGCACTGTGGCAGGCTGCCCCGCTTCCCCCCTCCGCACACCATCACCCCACCCCACCCCACACACGGCAGGCAGCTGGGCGCCACGCACCCCCTGGAACGCCTTGGTCTGCTCCGTGTGTGTGTAGTAGTCCTTGCTCTGGTAACGGCCATCCATGTCCATGGGGCTGATGGTCACCTCGCCGCTGCGTGGCCCGCTGTTGGTAAAGGCCTGCAGAATGGCAGCCAAGCAGAGCAAGTCGGTGGTGCAGCGCAGCTTGAGGGGAGGAGCATGCAGGGCAGCAGCAGCGGCAGGCACGCAGCAGCGGCTGCCGCACCCGCTGCGGTTTTCGTGCTGAGTGCGCGCCGTCGGAGATCTCCTCTATCGTCTGCTTCAGCTCTGCCACCTGCAGCGACAGGCGGGGCCGGTGGGTGGGTGGTCACACAGCGCAGATCAGATGTCAAGGCTTTGCTGCCTGCCGGCCTGTTGCCTGCCCGTCCTCGTTCATGTGCCGTGCTGAACAGCCTCCTCACGGCCCGTACCTGCGCCTGCCGGGCCTGGATCATCTCGGGGGTCAGCCCCTTGCCCTTGCGGGCCATCTTTTCCAGCAGCGGGATGGCCTGCTCCAGCAGCGTGGCCTTGGTCTTGCGCAGGTCGGCATTCAGCGCAGCCTTGAGCGCGCGGTTCTTCTCCTGTGCAGTCTCATCCGACCTCTGTGGGGTGGGTGAGGGTGTGGGGGGGTGCACAGGTGTGCAGGTGAGGCATGGGAGGCCAGGGGTGGGCATCGGGAGGCATAACTTGCAGCTGCTGCGACACGCAAAAGGCAGCGACGTGGTGGACAGCAGTTTCCCTGCCTTGCCACCATTGGAGCAGCGTGCATTCACGCAAGCTGGCAGCAGTCGAGGCGGGCAGCAGCTGCACTGGGGTGCCTCCACCACGCACCAGCTGCAGGTCCTGCACTTTGTCCAGCACCATGTTGAACTCGTCAGCAAAGGGGTCATCTGTCTTTTCCCGCACCGCCGCGTTGGTGTCGTACTTCTCATACCTGCACCGGGGAGCAAGGCACACCAGGCACCGAGTGGCTGCTGTGAGACAGGCAGGGCGCAGGGCACACGAGCAGCAGCAGCGGGCGAGCGGGCGGCCCGCCGCCACCAAGCTCCAACTCTCACTTCTTGTAAATGGCCTGGCCGCGCAGCAGCACATCGGTCACGTTCGACATCCTCAGGCGCCCGGCGTGGCGCGCGGGGCCCGGCTGGAGGTTGGGTCAGGTCAGGGGCAGCAGTGGGGGTGGGGACGGACTTGCAGCGGGCTGAAGGCCCTCCGAGGTGATGCACGAGGATTTTGGTGGGCGCACAGGCCCTGCAGCGGCGTCTACGACCGCCGCGTGCTCTGACCGCGTCTGCTGGGGTGCGGTAGAGGTGCGGCACGTGCTAGGGAGGCAGACAAAACGCCGAGCCGCAGAACATTGCCAAGGCTGGGCGAACACGGGTGGGCATGCGCCGCACTGCAGTACAACAACACTTGCCGTACCCCCTCGCCCTCTGACGGCATGCATGCGCGCATTGCATGCTCGTTAGCTGCCCACGCCATCTTCCGCTGTGTTGCTCCAATGGCGGCGCCACTCACGACGGCACCTCGGCACCTCGGCGCCCCTTTGCCGCTCCCCCGGCACTCCAGCATCAGCGGTCGTTGCAGCACTCGTGCAGCGCCGCCAGCGGCATGCAGTGCAGCCAGGCCCAGGCGACTGCGACGCCTGCCGCCGCCGAGCGCAGCGGCAGCAGAGGGCGAGGAGGCGCCCGAGGAGGACGCCGAGGAGGAGGACATTGAGCTGTACCTGGATGAGGGCATAGTTGAGCGGGCCATGCGCCTGGAGGAGGCGAAGGAGGAGCGGGACAGGCTGGCAGGGTGCGCTGCTGATGTGCAGGCCGCGCTGCAGGCCTGGAGCTAGAGTAGCTCACTGCATCGCACCACGGCTATGGAACCTCTTCCTTGGAACCTCCCCGCTGCTTTTGTACACCTGCAGCGCCTTGACTTGCCCCTTTGCTCCTGTCCTTGCAGCAAGAAGCCCACGCTGAGGCTGCCGCAGCAGTATGGCCTGGAGTCGTGGCAGCCTGGCATCAGCACGGCGCCGCAGCAGCAGGCGGCGGCGGCAGCAGCAGCAGGAGCAGAGGAGGGCCAGGCCGCCGCCACGACGCCGTCGTACGAGGAGCTGCTGCAGCAGCTGCCGGGCCTGCGGCTCCAGCTGCGTGTCGCAGCGCAGGAGCGTGTGGGGCTGGCCACCCAGGAGCGGGAGGCCGACCAGATTGAGTATGAGGATGATCGGTACCCGCGCAAGCCGGAGCCGCAGCTGGACGAGTGGGACCTGCGCGCCAAGATGGAGAAGCGGCGGCGCCAGCAGCACGAGATGCAGGGTGAGGGCGCAACGGCGGCGGCGGGGTTGGGTGTAGTGTGCTTGGGGAGGGGGGCTGCGGGCGGGGCGCAGGACGGGCAGCAGGCACGTCAGCCTCGCTGCTGATTTCACAACGCTGTTGGCTGGATGCGGCAGAGGCCCCCACATCCTACTCCCGGCCCACACGTGCCCCTCGCGCCTGCAGAGTGGAATGAACGGCGTTCGCGTGTGGGGCAGTACCCCTCTCTGGGCGCCGACTGGCGCACCGATGTGCGGTGCCAGGGCACAGGCAACCCCACTGACCCCGACTACCGAGAGTGGACCCACAAGGAAGTGTGGGACCTGATCACCATGGGGGGCATCAACGCAGACCCGCGGGACGTCGCCCTCTTTGTGCGCAACCCGCTGGAGATTGCGGGTGGGTGGGTGGGCGGAAGGGGGGCCCGGGCGGCAGGGGCTGGGGGCTGGGCAGCACCGTAACTTGTGCACACGGCTGTACGGCACCAGTGCATGCTGCCCCAGAGCAAGTCCCTGCCGCTCGTTCCCTCCTTTGGTTTCAGCTGCGTGTGCTCACCGCCACCACCGCCACCCACCTCACGCTGGCTCCTCCCCCCTGCCCTCCCGCAGACGCCCCCGCCCAGGGCGCCGAGTACCGCATGGACCCTGAGGAGTACTTTGAGTCGGTGGGGCGCCTGATCCACGAGGATGACTTGGCTGCCATCGCCGCCGCCGACAAGGATGCTGAGGTGGCGCTGCTGGCGTCTGAGTTCAGCGACTTTGACGACGAGCTGGTGGGCAGCCGCGACTTTGACGCAGACTACGCGGCGGCAGAGGGAGGGGGCAGCGACGAGGACTTCTGAGCCGCGCGGGCGCGGCGCCCTGGTGGCTGGCTGCCTTGCTGCCTGCCCACGCTGCCTGGTGGATTGGAGGAAGCGATGGGTTACACGTTGCGTTGACAAACCACTGTGCCTGCCTATGGCTGGGTAGTTGGTTGGGCAGGCTGTAAATTGAGGTTGGCTGCCTGCTGCACCTGCAACCAGCAGGAATTGGGCGGGTCACAGCTTTGGCTCAAGGCAGAATGCACACCTGCGCAGTGTATGCGGCCCACACTGGCCGCTGCCACCTCCCCAGTCACCAGGTCAAGCTGCTGCAGCTCTTGAAGCAGCCGCTTCTCAACAAATGCTCGCATCAGGGGCTGGTTGGCGGGTAGGTTGACCGATAGCGCCACCGGCTTGCCCACCTTCTTTGCTGCAGGGGGCAGGGAGCAGGGAGCAGCAGCCACAGTTGAACTCGATACTTTGACATGCGCTGCCGAGCCCCGGCCCTGCCAGCCCCGCTCGATCCCCACCTAGACGCTGCGACATGCTGATGATGTCGTCATCGGCGCGCCCAGGGAGCAGCGAAGTGGCTGAAGGGATGGGATCCTGCAGCGCTGCGATCTAGGGGTGCTGATCCCAAGCCAGCAGGGCAGGCAGGCTGGCTGGAGACGACGCAGCGGGGGCGGCTCACCAGGCGGGTGGGCATCGCCATGCACAGGTTGCTCAGGCGGGGCGGCTCCACGCCGATCCAGATGAACAGTTGTCGGTCAAGCACCACAACTTGGAAGTGCAGCTGCTGGTCTTGGAACACATCGCTGGCTCGGTGCTCCACAATGGGCATGGCTCCTGCTGAGCAGTCCGGGTCACACACGTCTGGATCGATGCAGAGGAGGAGGTGGGATTGAACTGGCGATGCGTGTGGCCGCAAGATGGTGTGCGTGGGGAGATGCCCAGCTGGCGGCGGCGGTGGCGAGCTGGTCACCGCGGAGAAATTGGGTTTTTGACCACACATTCGCAATGGCAAACATGTGCCACGCCTGCTGGCACTGGTTAGCAAACAATGTCAGTTTACAATCAGCAAGTTTGGATGCCTGCAAGGACCGCCAAGTTATCAATTACAAAGTGCGGCAGCTCATCATGCGCGGCTGCCGCCAGCTCGTGTTGGGACGTGACGCCCGTCAGCGGCAGAACCGTTAGCAGGCCGCCCTGTCGACCCATGGCAATATCGGTGTCAAGCCGGTCCCCCACGATGAGAGCCTGCTCAGGGCGCAGGTTGTATTGAGAGCAGAGGAAAGGGAGCAACCACTCGCCACCCTTCCCTACGTTCAATGCGGTGCAGCCTGCTGCTGCTTCCACAGCACGAACGCTGCAGCCGGTGCCGGGCATCATTCGTCCATTGCCTGCATGGCGCTCAGGAGCGGCATGGCATGTGAAAAGGGGTTCAGCTGTGCCACATCAATGCACGATTCGCACATCACTTCACTCCACCACGCCTTAAATGAGCCACATCCCTACTCACCCATATTATCTGCATCATCAAGGTTGGTTGCGATGAACAAGCAGCCCCCCGACAGCTCCCGCAGGCAGGCAGAGGCATAGCAGATCTTGGCGTAGCTGAAGCCGGGGTCCCAGCCAACTACTACTGCCCCAATGCTGTCGTCCAGCTGCAGGCTGCCAAAGCTCTCCGCTGTCCATCGCTGTTCCAGAGCCGCCACGCCGCTGCTGCCGCTGCTCAGTTTCTCCAGCGTCACGTACTCGAGTCCTGCCTCCTCCAGCTCTTCCTCCACCCCCCGGTTGCCAATCAGGAAGACGCGCTTGCTAAACCCGATGCTCTGGAGGTACGCCGCTGCCGCAAAGCTAGTGGGCACGACCTCCTCTGCCGCCGCCTGGATGCCCAGCGACCGGAACTTGGAGAGGTACTGGCGCCGCGACTTGCTGGAGTTGTTTGTCAGGAACAGCAGCCGCTTGCCCAGGCTCCGAAAGTGTTGGAGGGCCTGCATGACAGGCAGGCAGATGAGCGTGACTCAGGTGTGGCGCATCCCCAATGCCACACACCCTTGCCTGCCTGCCTGCCTGCCTGTGTTGTCTGCGTTGGCTGCACTTGTCCGCTCAACCCACCTCAACCGTGCCTGGCAATAAAGTGTTGCCCCTCCACAGGACTCCGTCACAGTCCAGCACCAGTGTGCTGACGCTGCCCCAAAGATCCTCAAGAGACTTGCTGTCGTGTGCCAACAGCGGCACCGCCAGCTTGTGGCCTGCGCGATCTGGAGGGACAGCAGAGACCAAATCGGTCGATGCAGTGTTGGTGGTGCAAAGGCGGAATGGCGGCGCATGGCAGCGGGGACTGCTGCATGCCCACAGCGCCTCAATAAATGCAGCTGCACATTCACTTCACCTTCACATTGCGTGACGCTGGGATGGGCCTCTGCTGTGCCTCGTGACGAGGTCAGTTTGAGAGTGTGGCGTTGGAAGTGCTGGCGGCCAATGCCCAAACCACCTGCAGGACGAGTGCAGGCGTGCATGGACTCGATCATCAAGAGACAGGGGCCCGGAGCGCTGAGACCGAGCCAGCTGCCGTACACCGGTACGAATTGGCTCCCACTGTCCGGCAGGCTGGTGCTGCTCGATGGACGATTTCCCGAGGTGAAATGACTGCCAGTGAATCATCGGGACGAATCCTGCTGCTGGGGGCCAGTGGGGTGGGCAAGCACAGGCTGCTGCAGTCGATCAGGGGGCAGGAGACCGTGCGGCAGCCTGACGCCACGTACCCGTGGCGCCTGGACAACAAGTACTACACAGCCGATGTGCAGTTTGACGTGCGGCATGTCGATCAGTGTGCAGAGCTGGAGCTGGAGTCTGCGGGCTACGAGGCGGTGGTCATAGTGTTCGATGCCGGGCGGCAGGCCAGCTTCGACAGCGTGCAGCGATGGTATGAGGCGGCGGGTGGCGGCGAGGCGGAGCTGGGCGTGCAGCTGGCTGTCGGCACGAGGGAAGATGGCCTGCCGCGCAGCACAAAAGGCGAGCCGGCCAAGCCCAGCTGGCTGGTTGCAGCAGAGAAGTGGTGCACGGAGCAGCTTGTGGAGTATGTGGAGACGTGGAGCACAACAGAGCGGCAGCAGCAGCCTGCACAAGAGGCGGCATCCTCGGGTCAGGGCAGCGAGGGGGCCAGCGGCGTGCAGCGCATCAGGGAGGCACTGGAGGCGCACATGTGGCCGGGCCTGCGCCTGAAGCCCAACCCGCGCCATGGCGTTGCAGCGGCCGCAGAATCGCTGTCGCAAGAAGCATCGGACGCGGAAGTCGAGGAGGCAGAGCCCGCCCCAGCCACAAATGGGGTGCGCTCTGGCGGCAGCAGCAGCAGCCCGCGCGCAGCCCAGGACTTGAGTTTCACTGACTACCTGCGGGATCCAGACGAGGCGGTGGCGGCAGCGGGCATCGCCGGCGGACAGCCCACAGGAGGGGAGGGGTTTGGGGTGGAGGAGATGGAGCAAATGGAGCAGCTGCTGGCGCAGATCACAAGTGAGTGGTCCAGTTCCATCTGCTTGCCCCAAGCTGCACTTGTTTGATGCAAAAGTGTTGGATCGAGTTGCCAGCCAGCAGCCTGTGCAACCTGTCACATCCATCCAACCTGTGGCAGCTAGCTTCCCCGTGCCATGCTCTGAAACCAGCAACTCCTGGCTTGTGACCCATGCAGGCCACCGCAGCCAGCTGTCTCAGCTGCCTGATGTCCAGCGGCGCAAGGCGGCAACAGCAATGCTTATGCGGCTGATGGAAGTTATGGGCATGGACGAGGAGGAGGAGGAGGAGGAAGAAGAGGAGGGCGATCAGCATGCTGGCAGCAGGGAGGAGTGACTCTGGCAGCAGTCCTGGCTTGCTGTTGCGTTGCAAAAGAGCGTGTGTTCAGTCCAATGAAATCAAGCAGCCATGTAAATAGAAATGAAATGGTCATGAAAAAAACATCTAGTCGCTGCCCTTGAAGATTGCCTCCAGGCCGGCGGGCGGCCACCGCACCGGATCGTAGCCGCTGTTGCCCCAGGGGGTGCACCGCAGCAGGCGCCAGGCGGTCAGCACAAAGCCCTTGCCCACGCCATAGCGTTGGAAGGCTTCCATCGAATAGACTACAGGGAGGGGTGTGGGGATGGCACATTAGGTGCTAGGGCGGTGAGTCGTCAGGCGACATGCGGCACTGCTGGCCCTCCTGAAGAGGCATGATGAAGGTGCATACCAGCCAGGGTGGCCTGCTGCACAAGCAAGTGTGTGTGTGGTGTGGCGCGGCGGCAAGCTGTGCTGTGATGCGCGCACCTGAGCAGGTTGGCTGGAAGCGGCAGGCGGGGGGCAGGAGCGGCGAGATGGCGGCCTTGTAAAACTTCAGCATTGCGAGTGCGGCCTTCACACCCGCACTGTCTTGCTGCTCCTGCTGCTGTTCTGCCGGCTGCTGCTGCCCCTGCTGCCCATCTGCCGCCTGCTGCCGCTGTTGCGCCACCACCTTTTCCGCTGCTGCGCCAGTCTGCTGGACCTCCTGCCCATCCTTCAGCACCGCTGCAGAGCTCAGGTGCCTGCCGTTGTGCTGCAGTTGTTGCTGCTTGGGCAGGTGGTGCTGTATCAGGCTGCGCTGGCGGGCGGGCTGCACCAGGCAGCGGTGGCACGCCGCAACCTGCAGCCGCCCAGGCTGTGCAGTGCGCAATGCCAGCATGCGGATGGTGCTGCCACTGCTGCTGCTGCTGGTCCTGGCACTCCTATTGGCTGCCTGAGGGTGGGGTGCCCGAGCTGCGGGAACCACGGCACAGCCTGTTGGTGCATGCATGGTAGTATAAGTTGTGGATTTCACCCGACGGAAAAGCAGAGCTCTGCAGACCGTCTGGCTTTCTCACGCCCTCCACGCTGGCTGGCACGCTTTTCCGAACAGCAGCCCCACGCCTTGTCCGATCAGCTTGTGCATACGCCTGTGACATCCGAAGCACTGCAAGCACGTCCTCCGCTTATGGTGTGCGTATGGGTGGCAACTTGCTGCCCGCAATAGGGGTTTCGGTGGGCTGCTGGACTACCCCCTCGCGACTGCGGGGGTCTCAGTACATGATGACAGCGACACGGGCCTCGCATCGTGCCGCCACGGCCGCAGCCAGCAGTGGCGGTGGGGGCGGCACCCCGCCGCTGGGCGTAGCGGCTGTGCGGCATGCGTCTGCCGGCAGCAGCATCAGCGGCACAGGCGGCGAGACCGGACAACTGGCGCATGTCGCGCTGGGCATAAAGTCGAGGGGGCCGTCGCCCCCCACCGCTGCCTCCAGCGGCAGGCAGACCACGGTTGCGCAGCAGCACAGCCGGCACCTGTTCTACCAGGCAGTGCCGCAGCACGTGTCCACGCACCCCTTGCGCTCGCCTTACGATGGCGAGATCTGGCTGCTCTTCCTGCCCGCGCTGTGAGTGATGCTCTGGGCAGGCACGCGTGCACTGCTTGTCCCCCACTCTCGCCGCCGCAGCCCTCTGCCACCCGCGTCCGCCCGACCCGCTGCGACCCCCTGCCTGCCCGCCCGCCCTGTTGGCGAGCAGGATCGCGGGCGTGCTGGAGCCTATCCAGCAGACAGCAGAGAGCATCCTGGTGGGGAAGCTGGGTGTCTCGCAGGCAAGTAACCCGCCGCCCCATGTCCCGGCAGGCAGCAGGCATGCCCTCCTCCCGCCCTCGCCGACCTCGTGACCCCCTGTCCCCGCCTCCGCCCATGCCTGCCTGCAGCTGGGGGCTCTGGGACTGGGAACCGTGCTGTTCCAGTTTGCGGTGGGCTTCCTGGCCTGCCTCATCATTGCCACCACGCCCCGCGTAGCCGCACACTCGGACAACAAGGCGCTGGTGAGCGCCGCCTGCCCGCTTCACTTTCCTAGAAATGTGTGAGTGGACCATGTCTTGAGTTTTGACAGTCCACTCAAGCCCGCCACCTGATGCACCAAGCTGTGACCTGGACCGCAGGCGTCCCGCGCCACCGCCCAGGGCATGTGGGTGGCGGTCGTGGCGGGCGTGGCGCTGCAGGCGGCGGTGTGGGCCAAGGCGCCAGACATCATCACTTGTGAGCGCCGCCCTCGCCCTGGCCCCGCACCCACCCCCGCCACCCCCCCGACCGCTTCACCTGCCACCGCCTGCAGTCATGTCTTCCAGCGACGCTACTGTGGCCTCCCTGGCGGTGCTCTACCTGCGCGCCCGCTCCTGGGGCCTCCCCGCAGCGCTGGTCATGATGGTGGCCATCGGGGCGGCCAGGTGGGGGCTCGGTGGTGGTTGTGGTGGGGGGGCAGGCCAGGCCCGCTGCGT